CGCACCCACACACTTGCACTTGCTGCCTTGTACGAGTATTATTTTGTGTGAGTCAAAGCGTGACTGTAGCTATTTTCAGTGTTTCAACTGTCTCGGTTTGCGGTTTGCCAGAATAATAAAAGCAAAACACAACACAACAAAAAGGCCGATCCGATTGGTTTTTATGGCTGTCAAAATTAGCAAGAACTTGTCAAAGCTCACGCAATGACTGGCCAGAATATAATGTGTTTGGGCTTAATTAGTTATCACACAGAATATGCACCTCTGGAGGCGCCTCCATTTAGCGCTGGCGTCTCTGATGGGGCATTTCTATGACTTCACAGCATGTGCGCTTCATTTACTTTCCTTTGGGGCATTCAGGCAAGTGTAGTACGCGCTTCGCGAATTTCGAACTGTGTTCTAGAACATTTCCACTGCCCAAAGAGTCCCGGTCCCCCGATGTCGTCAGAATCACTTAGCTCTGAATATTTTAAGAAGTGGGCGCATGTTTTTTAAGAGCAGTCTCCATGTGCCGCAGTCACGAGATCTGGATGTGTGTTACGCTTACGTCCGACCGATATAATTAGACCTGTGTACTATATCTCAATATATCTGGGGCGATTTCTTTGACGCTGTGCTGTGCTGTGGCTATGCCGAGTGAAAAGTTCACCCTCCCAATTGACATCAATCGTGGATCGTGGGCTGGCGCTGCATTATGAAGTGAGAGAATTTTCCATCGTTTCGCTAAATTAGTGCAGAGGAAAGCCGAAAAACTAAAATCACGCTGACCAACGTTGATGTAATCGCCGGGCCGGGCCGGACAGAGAGCGGGCAGAGAACTGCTGTCCCACGAGAACGAACCCACAGCACCAGAGTTTATAAATGAAGGCAGCGCCACGGTCGCCGCTCAGTAGGAAAAGCCGCGGGCCAGAGCAACGCCAGCACGAACGAGCCGGCTGCCACCCAAAGTTCCGAGTCAGTTCTCTAGCCAACGTCGGGGTTAGCGCAACGCAACGTACAGACTAATAGAATTAATTGTTCAGTTTTCTCTTTATCAAATCGTCTGTCAGCCCGCGCAATGATACTGTCCCACACCGGCCAAGTTCACAGATAGACAATGAAATGGTTTAAGCGTGTGCGGAAAAAGTCTTACCACTCGTAAATCGCCGCGATAAGCTCTCGAACACATCTCGAATTTAGTTTAACACAAACCAACCTAATTTATTTACGACGCGACCAAATGGGCTTTCGTCGTAGCACGCTGAATCATCGCCACCGCGATGGACATGTCCTGGTCTGGGAACAGGCCCCCGACCAGACCCCTAAACGTAAGCCTTGTTAATAAGTAAAGTGTGGAACTGTGTTTGGCACAAGCCTTCCTTCTTCCCCCGTTTTCTGTGGTCAGTGTCCACTGTGCGTACACGTAATTTTAGGGGCAAGTGTAGTCCAACTTAATTGCTAGCTGGCCGACATGACGCTCGTTCTAAAATAGACTCGCTGCCACTCGAGACTTACACGTGCTTTCCCTCGATTCCCGATTCACATCGCCCGACCTGCCGTCAACCAAAGCGAACGCGGCGACTGTGCAACACGAGACGTTGACGGGAAGTCAGGAGAGTGCTGAGAAGGGGGTTGTGTGGTGGGGAAAATCGCGCGATTTAACGCTTCGTGAGCAATAGCAGAAAAGCAACAGCAAGCGCCCAACAGCTTTTTAAATTTATTTAAATCAGCAATTTTTTCGGTGCCTGGCATTGTTTATGGCGTAGTTTTTTTGGCTGCTTTTTATCTCTTTTTTTTTTATTGTGAATTCCAAAGAAATTGTCAGACTATTGGGAGCATAAAACTTTACTTTCGAAGGGGCAAAGTTCAACAATCCCAATGGGCTGGTGGCATAGGGTTGGGGCGACTTACGACTGCTGGAGAAGTAAATTGCCTCAATTATATTTACCCACTATCTAATGTATTCCATAATTGTGGTTTACTTCGAACTTTCGTTTTTCACCTTCCACTTCCAATTGCACAATATGAGCCAATCCTCAACCCAAGCCCAGCAAAGCGATCACAACTGTACCTGCCACGGATACCTATTGAATATCACGTGTTTGCGAGTCTCTGTAAAACGCCGACTGTCGACGATTCACGTTTGTCAAATGACAATACAAAAATGAACACCCCCCACTCGCATTCAGGTGCAGTTATCGTTAGAACAATAAGCAACCTCCAAGTACGACTCTAGGGCTATAAAATCAAATGAATAGGGGAAGTGACACCATACTCGTACCAGTAATTCCATATTCTCAGAGACCGCATCATAGAGTGAGGCAATTGCGAACCCACTCCCCTTTCCGGGTCCTCTATCTGCAGTGAGTCATAGGTAGAGACGATCTTATCTCTCTCGAGCGACGAACCTTGGGCTAAGTAAACCCCAGACAAGATTATAGCGTAGATTATATCGCAGTTGAGAGATTCTGTGACTGTGACTCTGACTGTCACTGTGGTGTAGCCTCGTTCTGGTTTATTTTCGCTTATTTTCACAGTTCGGAAAAGCGAACATCTCTGCTAGCAATTAGTTTTGTTGACAACACTTCCGCTTTTCCTTTGCTTAATTAAATTTGAATTTATTTGTGTGCATTAGTCAGTGACGCACTCATTGATAGAGCAAGATGAGAAATACACTGGGAAAAAGAAGACAACTCAAAAATATTCCCCTTCTATTTTTTAGGATGCTTTGCCACCCGCTACTTTGTGACCTTCATGCTCTTCCTGGGCATGGCCAATGCCTATGTGATGCGCACCAACATGTCGGTGGCCATTGTGGCCATGGTAAACCACACGGCCATCAAGGTGAACGATGAGGAGACCGTCGACGAGTGCGGAGATCGTGATTTGCCAATTGTAAGTTCGAACGGCCACAAGATCTTCCTACCCTAGGTCTTACTAACCCATTAAATTTATACCTTTAGGACGATTCTCAGGATGGCGAGTTCGTTTGGAGTTCGAGTCTTCAGGGCTACATCCTGTCTTCCTTCTTCTACGGCTACGTAATCACCCAGATCCCCTTCGGCATACTGGCCAAGAAGTACGGGTCGCTTCGCTTCCTCGGCTATGGCATGCTCGTAAACTCGGTGTTCGCCTTCGTGGTGCCAGTGGCAGCTCGACAGGGCGGCGTCTGGGGCCTGTGCGCCGTCCGCTTCATCCAGGGTCTGGGCGAGGGTCCCATTGTGCCCTGCACCCACGCCATGCTGGCCAAGTGGATTCCGCCCAACGAGCGGTCCCGCATGGGTGCCGCCGTGTACGCGGGGGCGCAGTTCGGAACGATCATCTCTATGCCGCTGTCGGGTCTGCTTGCGGAATATGGCTTCGACGGTGGCTGGCCATCGATCTTCTATGTGTTTGGCGTGGTGGGCACTGTGTGGTCCATTGCATTCCTCATCTTTGTGTACGAGGACCCCTCCGCCCATCCCAACATTGATGAGCGCGAGAAGAAGTACATCAACGACTCCCTCTGGGGCACGGATGTGGTCAAGGTAAAGCCCCGACTCAATGCAGTTTGCCAGCAGGAACTAATCTTCTAATTTTGGCATCTTCCGCAGAGCCCTCCGATTCCGTTCAAGGCCATTCTCAAGTCGATGCCCTTCTACGCCATCCTGTTCGCCCACATGGGCCACAACTACGGCTACGAGACTCTGATGACTGAGCTGCCGACGTACATGAAGCAGGTGCTCCGCTTCTCCCTGAAGTCGAATGGCCTGCTGAGCTCGCTGCCCTACCTGGCCATGTGGCTGTTCTCCATGTTCATCTCGGTGATTGCGGACTGGATGATTAGCTCGAAGCGCTTCTCCCACACGGCCACCAGGAAGCTGATCAACAGTATCGGCCAGTACGGACCTGGCATCGCGCTGATTGCTGCCTCCTACACGGGCTGCGACCGGGCTTTGACCTTGGCCATTCTCACAATTGGCGTGGGCCTCAACGGTGGCATCTACTCGGGCTTCAAGATTAACCATCTTGACCTGACGCCACGCTTCGCCGGCTTCCTGATGGCCATCACGAACTGCTCGGCGAATCTGGCGGGTCTGCTGGCCCCCATTGCAGCGGGCAACCTGATCAGCGATCACACAAAGGTAGGCATCGAAAGCTGAAATCTGTATCCAGAAGGATTACTAATGTTGCTTTTTGTTGCTTGCAGCCCATTATGGGACAGTGGCAGATTGTGTTCTTCATTGCCGCCTTCGTGTACATCATCTGCGGCACCTTCTACAACATCTTCGGTTCCGGCGAGCGCCAGTTCTGGGACAATCCCGAGGGCGATGAGCAGAAGGCGGCTCTGAGCAATGGAGCCAATTCCTCCCCAGCAAGGCTGAGCACGCCACAGGCCATCACCGCCACCGAGTCCAGGCAGTAGTATTATCCTGTGACCTGTGACCGGTGACCTGTGTCACATTACCACTGCAGTGCACAAGTTTAGAATTTAGCTATTGTTTTAGTTACCTATGTGTTAAGTAAAATGTTGTTATTACGTTAGTTAGCCATCATTGATATATTCCTATTCCCGATGAGCCGCAACCGATTCGCAGAATAAAAGACAGAAATCATACAAGGAATTGTTAAAGAAACCCAAAACCAGACACGAAATGTCGCAACATATGTACATGTCATGGAGTTGGGCGAATCGAGGTCTACCAATTGTATTGTAAATGTTGTAAATGAGTACGAGTACGAGAACGAGTATATGTAGTTTTCTTATGTGATAGAGACAGAGTTTAGTCTTCTAACCAATTGAAATGATCCGAAGAGAGGAGCGCAACCAAATATATGCAAGAATTAAAACTACCACAGCTTAAAGCCAACCCTTCAGAGTGTTTCAATCAATTACAGAGCGGCGGTGGGGGTGAGTCCTAATTCGAAATTAATAATCAGTTGTTCGACTGTCAAAGTGTCGGGCTATCTATCGGCTGGAACCTGCTGCCATCTGTCGTATAAAAAGCCACACGAAGGACATCGATGATGGTTATAGTCCAATGGGCCACGAAGAGGAACTAACACCGGAGCAAGTAGACGTGGGTGTGTCCCCACTCAGGGGCTCGCTCAGGCGCACCTGGACCGACTTCTGCGCCACCAGCAGTATCCACGGATTGCGGTACACCCGCGACGAGGACACCAACCGGATTGTGCACTTTGTCTGGCTGCTCATCTCCCTGGTGATGTTCAGCTGTGCCGTGGCCATGGCCCACACCTTCTACGTGGACTTCCGCAGCAATCCGACCCGGATGAATGTGGAGAGCGACTACACGCCAGTGAGCAGCCTCTACTTTCCCCCGGTCACCATTTGTCCGGAGGTGCTCTTCAATATGCAAAAGTCCAAGCAATTTCTGGCGACACTGTGAGTGGGAATGGGCGGGCACAGTGTGGGTCCCCGATTGATAGATTGATTCGCTCCCCTACGGACAGGCGACTGCCTCAGGGAGCTGATGTGGCTGGCATCCTGCGACAGCTCCACATCTTCTACGGCTTTATGCTGGACGATGAACGCTTTGCCGATCAGGACATCGAGCAAATGGAGGCTGTTCTGTCGCTGAACAATCTGAGCCTCGAGCAGTTGGTCGACCACTTGCGCTGGGATTGCCGGGAGATTCTGTATCGCTGTCGGTACCATGGCAAGATTGTGGACTGCTCAGATCTCTTTCAGCTCTCCAAGACCTTCTTCGGCAACTGCTGCTCCTTCAATCTGCGCCAACAAGGGTGGGTAGCCATATATTTACACAGATGATAACCTCTAATGACTCCGTCTCTGCATAGACTAAACTTCACCGGTCAAAGGGCCGTTGGAGGCCTGGGCTCTGGCCTGTCGGTGATCCTACGGTACCAGGACGCCAACTACGATCCTTTGCAATCCTATTCGTATGGCGTGAAGCTGCTCATCCAGGAAACCAATGCCTTTCCCAGTGCTCATGCTGTTGCCAAGTTCGTAGCCTTCAACACGGAGGTTTTCGCGGCTCTGCGCCCTGAGGAGACCTTCTGCTCGGCGGCTGTCAAGGCTCTGGCCATCGAGGAGCGAAACTGTGTGTTCGGAAACGAGTTCCATCTGCGCTACTTCCCCGACTACGTCTACCCCAACTGTGAGCTCAACTGCCGGGTGACCAACATGGTCAAGTTCTGCGGCTGTCACACGTACTTCTTCGACTTCAATCGCACCAGCGATCGGATATGCTCGTTCAGGGATATACCCTGTTTGGTGGACAACTTTGGTGGGTGCCCCTCAGTCGATAGAAGTAGCATTTCGTGAATGTATTCTTTTAGCTAGCATCATCACGCGAGAGAGAAGCACCCAATGCTATTGTCCCCTGACCTGCGAGCACTTTGATTACGACGTTCAGATATCCAATTTTCCGCTGCATCCCGACATGCCAGTGGTGGATCCCTTTTAGTGAGTTCCCCCTTGGTGTACATTCTCCTCAGGCTTCATTTATTCCACTTTCAGCTCGGGTATAGCCGAGAACGATGGCATTTTGCATGTCTTTATCAACTCAATTAGCTATCGGCGCATTCGTCAGGACTTGCTCTCCAATATGGTGACTTTGGTTTGTACGTTCGTACAGAAATCTCTGTTGATTTCCACTTTCTTAAACTTCTGTTTTTGTTTCCTTATAGCTAACCTGGGCAGCGCCTTCAGCCTGTTTGTGGGCATGAGCATGCTCTCCGTGGTGGAGATTCTCTATTACTTCTCGGTTATCCTCCGTAAGAACTATGTGCAGGAGTGTCGAGCACGCAGAAAGATGTTGCAGCGGGGGACAAAGTGCGCCCTTCCCAAAACAAGTTACGCACACAAAACTCCAAAGAAATCTGTATTCATAATTCACAAATAGTAATCAGCTTCGGTATCAGAGTGCACGAAATTAACCAATAAATTAGAGCACTAAAATTATCGCCTCAAAACAAAACACAGCAAAATCTGATCACGCTTTCGATCGCCATACTTATCGTCTTCAAGGGGTATATTTTTTCTTGGCAAGGGTTTACCGACACTATAAAATATATTTATTTTTAGTAGCCCCCAAGAGCGTGCAGTCTTTTTGATTTTAAATATATTTAGGAAAACTCTTACAGACTTAATCGGCATTATAACGATCGGATAATTACACCAATCTCTATGAGTGCTCAGAAACTGCGGGTCTAAACAGTCCCCCGATCGAGGACTGTTCGTTGGTCTCTTTGGAAAGACCAACGCCAAATAAGAGGCAGAAACTGGCTTCGTTATCAGCTATTGCCATAGGTCAGCCGATGTGCATCGTAAATCTGGCTTCAGGGGGACCATCTGCTCATCGTAAATTGGACCCAAGCGAAGAGAAGCCGCGCGATAAGATTGGGCGGAGGTGGCAGTGGCAGTGGAGTGCTATAAAGGGAGGATCGCCAGGGCCATCGCCCACAGTCATGTACAAGTTCACTTTCGCATTGGCGCTCTGCGTTCTGGCCGCCGGTTCGGCGCTGGCGCAGCACAACCCCCACTGGTGGGGCAACCGGAATACCATCGTCCACCTCTTCGAGTGGAAGTGGGAGGACATCGCCGAGGAGTGCGAGAACTTCCTGGGTCCCCGTGGCTTTGCCGGCGTGCAAGTCAGTCCGGCCAACGAGAACATCGTGTCGCCAGGACGCCCCTGGTGGGAGCGCTACCAGCCCATCTCCTACAAGCTGATCACGCGGTCGGGCAACGAAGAGCAGTTCGCCGACATGGTGCGTCGCTGCAACGCTGTGGGCGTCCGCATCTACGTCGATGTGCTGCTCAACCACATGTCGGCGGACTTTGTCGGTCAGGCTGTGGGCACAGCCGGCACCCAGGCCGATCCCGCCGTGAAGTCCTTCCCGGGAGTGCCCTACTCTGCCGAGGACTTCCACCCGAGTTGCGAGATCTACGACTGGAACGATCGCTTCCAGATCCAGCAGTGCGAGCTGGTGGGCCTCAAGGATCTCGACCAGAGCCGCGACTGGGTGAGGACCAAGCTGATTGAGTTCCTCGATCATCTCATCCAGCTGGGAGTGGCCGGCTTCCGCGTGGATGCGGCCAAGCACATGGCCTCTGAGGATCTTGAGGTAAGTCTGATTCCGTATACTGTATGCTTCTCCATCACTAACATACCCCCAAATGATGGGTGCTTAGTTCATTTATGGCAGCCTGAGCAATCTGAATATTGAGCACGGATTCCCCCACAACTCGCGTCCCTTCATCTTCCAAGAGGTGATCGACCATGGTGGCCAGGAGGTCACCCGCGAGGAGTACAGCAATTTGGGTGCCGTCACCGAGTTCCGTTTCTCGCAGGAGATCGGCAACGCCTTCCGCGGCAACAACGCCCTCAAGTGGCTCCAGAGCTGGGGCACCGACTGGGGCTTCCTCTCGTCGGGCCAGGCACTCACCTTCGTGGACAACCACGATAACCAGCGCGATGGCGGCGCAGTGCTGACCTACAAGTCCCCCCGCCAGTACAAGATGGCCACCGCCTTCCACCTGGCCTATCCCTACGGCATCAGTCGCGTTATGAGCTCGTTCGCCTTCGACGACCACGACTCGGCACCGCCCCAGGACGGGCAGGAGCAGCTGATCTCGCCCGAGCTCGATGCGGATGGCGGCTGTGTCAATGGCTGGATCTGCGAGCACCGCTGGAGGCAGATCTACAACATGGTTGGCTTCAAGAACGCCGTGCGCGACGCTCAGGTCTCCAATTGGTGGGACAATGGCGACAGCCAGATCGCCTTCTGTCGCGGCTCCAAGGGCTTCATTGCCATCAACAACAACATGTACAATCTGGCGGAGAATCTGCAGACCTGCCTGCCCGCAGGAGTCTACTGTGACGTCATCTCGGGCGATCTGATCAACGGCTCCTGCAGCGGCAAGTCCGTCTATGTGGGTGACGACGGCAAGGGCTTCGTGAGCATCGATTCCGATGACTTTGACGGCGTGTTGGCCATTCACGTGGATGCGAAAATCTAAGGCAAGACCCACAGAGTTAACGACAGAAATATTGGCTTTATTTTGTCTCAAATTACAATAAAAACGAACGCATATAATGTATGAATATGTATGTGTAAATGTTTTAGCACTCTCTATATGTATGCATATGTATGTATATATAGTATGTGTGTATGATGGATCGAAAGATCGATAACAATAACGGTACAAATACAAAAAGGTACAAGTAAAACATTCAAACTGGAACTGGATTTAGTCTAAGAAATGCCTCGACAACGAGCATCGTTCATCTATCCTCAAGGGTTCTATCCCTCTAAACGGATAGAACATTGTACTCGTACACTGTATGTGATATTCGTGGGTAACTGTGACTGATACTCCTCTGATCGATCGCTGCAACACTGCACTGTAAAAAACCATCACTCTGCAAATAGAAGAAGGTCGCATTGTGAAATTGTAGTTGGGTGCTCTGGAATCTGGAATCTCTCCCTCTCTCTAATGCCCCTCCTCGCAAGCATGCAGAGGCACTGAACACAACTGAAAATCGATCGCAGATATCCGCATCGTTAGCACTACGAACTGTTTAAGCGATCTGTTTTCGAATCGAATCGAATCGATTTAGTTTAGTTTAGTTTCGATAGCAAGCAACTACAAATCAAAATAGCAACGATTCTACTGGCATTCCATTCAGGTTAGTTTCGAGTTCGAGTGTACAATAAGCTTGGAGATCGATTGCTGTCTCTGTGTAGTTTCAAGTACTTTACGAAATTTACGATTATTTACCAAATACGAGCACGAGTACGAGTACGAGTTGGAGTTTGAGTATGTTGTGGTTAGAAGTAAATGCTCATAGTGCGTAATTACCTGTAAAATGCTGATATCTTTCTTCACCTGCTACACCTCCTACATCGACTTGACTTGCTAAAAAGCCCACAACATCCATATCATCGCTTAACCGTTAATATATGTATAATAAATATCTTGTAAATAATGATACTTGGATTGCTTAAATGTAGGATTTCCTTTTCTCAATTTTCATTTGTCATATTCATATTCATTTTTGTTTTGGGTTTTGGGTTTTGTTTTCGTTTAACTAACAAACACAGAGTCCAAAAATCTTGCTCAAAGTTTAACATTTAATATTCCTTTTATAATACGCGAGTTTCCTCTTTCGTTCGCTTTTCTCTAAGTATTTTTAAGATTTAAGTACGGCCCCAAATCCAGCTTTAAATACATGTATGTATGTATGTATGTATGTATATATAAACTCGTATCGTATAATGTCCAACTATGTAAATAATAATGATGCCACCACTTGCAATAGCCGCGCAGTTGGGTTACATTTAGAATATAGCGTTTACATAGATCTTAAGAATATAATCTGTATGGGTTATATTATTTTATAGGTACCATCCATCCATCCATTCAGACAGACAGACAGAATGTGTAATACTCGCACACATCTACACTTGTATATGCAGGTATATCCTACAGCTATACGTATATAACAGGAACCACGTAAAAATGCACAAATACTTATCGTATAATTTGGTTTTCCACAATAATTACAACATCAAAGTTTGAACCCCTCTATCCAAATACGTACATCCATGTATGTACTATATGTGTATATATGTATATATATGTATATATGTATGTAATGTATATAATACTATATAATAAATGTTTGATCTATTGTTTTAAATAGTAATCAGGTAAATCGTGGGAGGAATTATTGTTTCACATACATTTGTAGATCATTTAGAATAACAATTTCTATTCAACTATTTCTTGACTCATTTGGATCAACTGGATCCCCATCTGGGTAGACTCTCCTTGTTTAGAGTGTTCCCCTTCTTCTATAATGGAGGAGGCGTGTACACATACATATAACTGGCTTCGGTTCGGCCGAAGTGCCTGGTTGGGTAGAGCTTTGAAACGGCCTAAAACCAGAACCATTTTATAAAGTTTGAGTTTGGTTTCCACTTAATCCTACAGACACGCTCGAGATGCGATGCTTTTCAGTTTCAGTTTTAGATTTAGTTATAGTTCTAGATTTAGATTTAGATTTAGAGCTTGAGATTAAACATTGAGATTGTCAAAAACATATTATATCCAAGAAGATATATATAGAGATTGCCGCAATGAATACTCATGAGGTTCACCGTGGTTAACTGAACAAAGTACACCAAAACATTATTCCACCATTCCATATAAGCCGCCTAAAAGCTCTTGCCCGCCTCATGGATGCGCTTGCGTCGACTGTCGCGTCGCCGGTAGCGATCTATGATGCGGGATCGATGCCTTTCCGGGCACAGGGCCTCCGGCGAGCTGTCCACCTTCTTCATCACGATGCGGAACGTGAAGGTGTGCTTCGGCGAGGCACTGGCCGCCCGTCGTGGGGATGGCGGCTCGAACTCGCTGCCGCTGGAGAAACCGCAGCTGTGGAGCTGCCCCTGGGGCAGGGCAGCAGCGGATGGCACGGTGCCAACGGTGCTGCTGGGAATGCGTGGCGTGCCGTTGGTGTAGCCCGAGGGGGTGGACATTGAGCCCGTGGATAGCTGCTGGGTGAGCACAGAGCTGGGCCGCGGCTCGAAGATGGATGCACATCGCTGGTCGGTGCAGAGGAAGGTCTTCACCTCCTCCTCGCGCTGATCGCGCTTGATTGTGAGCGGGAAGTGCTTCCGGCTGGGATCGGCATACGGTCCGTGGCCATGGCCGTGGCTGGGTCCGCCCTGATACGACGAACTCGAGTCGTAGCTGTCCCGCGAGCTGTAGTTCGAGGAGGTCTGCTGCGAGAGCGGACTGCGTGCCCGCGAGAAGGCACTGAAGGGTGAGATGTGCAGCTGCCGGAAGGTCTCGGCCTTTTGCTTCTTGGTCATCAGCGGGAAGTTGGGCGAGCGGGCGGGCGTGACGCCACTCGTCTCTGAGGGCGTGTAGTCGAAGTGCGTCTCCAGCGAGGACTTCCTGCCGCAGGAGGAGCCTGACCGCTGAAATGTCTCCGCATCGACCAGCTCGATGGAGCTCTTGCGCAAGTCCACCGGACGCCGGTTGCGCTCGTCCGTGTCCACGATCTCGAAGCTGGAGGTCTGGTCCTCGTAGCTGGTGGACTGGTACCGCGATATGGACACATCGAAGCTGGTGTCGCGCGACGAGTACGGACAGTCGAAGCTGGACTCGGCGCGGCTCGACTTGCGGTCACCCTCGACCATCTCGAAGCTGTCGCCGCCCGAGTCCAGACGCTGCAGATTGATCAGATCCGTGTCCGTGTCCCCCCCGGGGCTGCGCAGCTGTTCGAGGAAGGGCGAGCGTGGCGGGTCGAAGGAAGATCGGCGCGACGGCGGCTCAAACTCAATAGTAGGACACTGCAGCGGCTGCTTCACGGGCGGGGCAGAGGCTGCCGCTGCAGCTGCGGCTGCTGCTGCTGCTGCTACTGCTGCCGCTGCTTCTGCCACAGCCTGGGCGGCCGCCTCCACCTCATCCGTTTCGCGCCGCAGCTCCTGCAGATTAACATAAACTGGTTCTGGCGCATAGGCCTTCAAGATCTCTACTAGCTCGGCACGCAGCTCCTCCGGAATAATCAGGTCGTTGGTGTCCGACTCGTGCTCTTCGCTGATCCGCGGCTCGATGGGCTCCCGACTCTCCGAGCGGCGCGTGAAGTGGTGCACCACCGCGGCTCCTCCGTCCCCATTTAGGGCCACCACTTTGAGCGAGTTGGTGACCTCTTCCACGAACTGGGCCATGGCGGCATCCGTCTGCTCCGGCTCGACATCTGGCACGACCTCGGAACCGGATCCGGCTGCGGCTGCGGCTTCCCCCTTCGCGTCCGTCTCCTGGTCCGGCTCGACTAGCTCCCGGAGTCGCTCATGCTTGATATAGGACTCACCTACCTTTTCGAAGTGGACGTTGGCCAGCTCGAATGGCAGCTCCTCGCCCGATGCGGATGCTGATGCTGATGCGGATGCAGATCCTGAGCCACCTACCTGCTCTATGATCCCCGCATTGGAGTCCGCGCTGGGCCGCTTGGATCCCGAGGCCGAGCTGCCCGTTGCTGCTGCTGCTGCTGCTGCTGATGTTGCTGCTTCTGCTGCTTCTCCTCCTCGTCGCGCTTGGCGGATCGGCGCAGCTTGAGACTCATCTTGGTGTAGTGGGCAAACTTGAGGGACATCTTCGGCTCGAATCCCACCTCCGACATCTGCTTCTGAACGGCACCCCTCGAGGCGGTGGATGAGGGGGCCGGGCTGGCCGAGAAGGTGCTCTGCCGGATCAGAGGCCCGCTGGAGGATCCCGACTCCGCCCGGGTGAAGGCGTTGGCGAAGCGGTTCGTGCGCGTGCTCATCACCCTGGAGGGCTTTCGCACAAAGGCCAGGATCTCCCGCATGACGCTCTTCTTCTCCTGCTGCTGCGGCTGCGCCTGCGCGGCCTCCTTCTCCCTCTCCCGCTCCAACTCCCGGGCAGCTGCCTCGGCCGCCTCCCTCTCGCGTTCCGCACTCTTGTAGGTCTCGGCTGGATTGGAAACGTGGATCGGCGGAATGGGTCCCATGCCCATGGGGGACCGCTTCTCGCTGGCAAAGTAGATCGGTGTGAAGAGGCTGATCGAGGGTCGCTTCATTCCCACGAAGCCCGCCTCCTCCGGCTCCGTGGCCATGTCCTGCACGTGAACTGTGGAGGTGGGACTCCTTCGGGAACCCGGAAAACCCGTCTGGCAGCCAAAATCCGTGGGTGCAGTGGCCCCTAGGGGCGAGCGACGCTCCTGGGTGTGCACACTGAAGGTGGGACTGCTCCTTCGGGGCTCTCCCGTTGGGCTTCTGGCAGTGGGACTGGGCTGGTCGTTGGGCGAACGCAGGCCGCTGCTGCTTCCGGGGAAGAGCGGACTGCGCCTGCCCTGGGGACTGCGATCGCTTGTGCCCACCGGACTACGCCGGCCCTGGGTGCCCAGCGAGATGGAGAGTTGTCCGCTGTTCTTCCGCCGGCTGGAGGCCCGGAGTGTGCCCTGGCGAGAGAGCGTGGTCGGCGTCTTCTGTGAGCCGCTGCCCGGGCTCTTGGATTCCGGCTCCGTTGGCACCGGACTCTTCGGCGTCAGCGGACTGCGCTTCTTTTCGCTGCTGGCCCCAGCCGAGGTGGTGTTGAGGGTGAGGTTGGGGCTGCGCCGCTCGGAGGGGCTGCGTCGCGAGCGGAACGACTGCGACTTGGCCTTGCGGATCTTCGGCAGGGACTGGTGGTGGTGGCGGTGGCGGTGCTGGTGGGGTTGGGAGGCTGAGGCCGAGGAGGAGGAGGAGGGGCCGTTCAACTTATGTTAGTTGCTGTGAGGGGCGCAGCTGGTGGGGTCGCTGCTGCCGCTGGAGCTGAGGGTGGTGTTGGAGCCGTAGGGATCCAGCGAGCTCTGCACGGACATCGAGCGGCCCTGGTTCTGGCGAGCCCGCCTCACTCGGCTAGAGTTGGGAGACAGCTTTCCGGGGTCGATGCTTTCTGGGTCTGCCTGCAAGTTGTAGAATCAGACATAAAGGGGGACAACAGGATGGATGGATGGATGAATGGATGGATGGATGGTTGGTATGGAGATGGAAATGGAAATGGACAAGAGCATGGCCATGGGCATGGACAGAGGCGGAGACGGAGACGGAGACAGATGAGTGTGAGAGTGAGTGATACTGAGTTAACACGAACAAAGCCAAGAGCAGGGTATTCTACAACCACAAAAGCGCACAGCAACCCACCTGGTAGGCCAAGGCATTCATGATGATCGCGTAGGGCACCAGGCTCAGCGGATGGATCTCCCGCATCAGCACATTCGCGGGTATCTTGTGGAACTGTATGTACTCCAGGAAGGTGCCCAAAATCTCCTTGATGTCAATGTTCTGCACGGGAATTACTTTTACGTCAGGACAGGGTTCGAGTTAGGCAATCATGTCCGCCACTTACCGGATTGTTGTCGTAATACTTTTTGCTCCACATCAGCGCCGCCTGGAACTTGGTGAACTCGTCCGCCCGCAGCTCCTCCCTGGCCAGAATCAGGCGCACCACATGCTGCGGCAGAAGGGTGAAGCTCCCCAGATTGAGCACCTCCGTCCCGTGCTCGTCCACAAACTCGAGCACCTTCTGCACCAGGGTCTTTGTGCATTTGTACTGGATGTAGCGCTCGGCGGAGGCCAGCAGGGCGCAAACGGTGTCCACGTTGATGCAGCACTGCACGAATCCTGCGCAGGCGCGACGCAGCTCCTCCAGGCCATAGTAATCGGCAGCATTCATAACACCTATGAACAAAAAGAGAGAAGTTTCCCTTTGGAAATGGTCTCTAAATCTTCCCCTCCCGTGGCGCTACTCACCCAGCAGGGTGCGCGGCTGCAGGGTCACACAGCCCGTGTGGATGTACTCGATGAGCTGGCGGAAGACATCTGGCTCAAACTCCTCAATGATCAGCGTCTGGTGCTGCTGACCTGTGGGCTAAAGTCGATCCAATCTCGATTAGTACAGGACTCCCATGAGAGCCAGCAGAACACGAACCACTAAGCGGGTGGAGGAGTGTGCAGGAAGTAAGCCAAACAAAGTGTCACATTGCGCAGATAGACAGAAATAGATTGACTTGGGTGGACAAAGCTTTACTCCTACTACGAGTATCATACCAAAAGTAGACAAACTCAAAAGAAGGATAAGGACATCGAAGCGTAGGTTGGGTAAGGGGAAGGCGAAGGCGAAGGGATAACAAACTAAATTCAGTATCTAAGCACCGCTCGTGGAAGGTCAGTGTTCCCGTGGATGGATACGCTTTGGGCTCTGCTCCGGGCCGTAGTGCGTAGTCACTTAATGCCTGTTCTTATGCATTCTTGTGGTATGTGTGGCATACATATAGAGTATCTTATGGTGGAGTAGTAACGTGCACTCTCTAGTTTCATCGCCAAACACAAAAACATTATCCTGCAATAGGCAACACGGACGCACAAAAGTACAACATAAAAGCCCACTGGGGTGCATTCGAGAGGTACGACTATTTTTAGCTTGTGAATGGATTAAATATAGCCACACGCACACACACACAGACAGATGCAGAAACGAATGCAAATACAGACACAGATACAGATGCAGATGCAAATACAAATACACGAACGCATAGAGACAGAAATAGAGAGAGAGAGAGAGAGAGAGAGATAGAGAGAGAGAGACAGATAGACAGACAGAGCATTTGATGCTGGGTTAGTTGGACATTTACCTCGGTTATCGGAGCTAATTGTTGGGTGAAACCGGTTCTCTATTATTATGCGGATGGGGTTCGGTTCGGTTCGGGTCGGGGGGATTCGGATATTCGGATAATTCGTATTGATGATGATGATGATGTTGGTGGGGGGGGAAACACAACAGAGATTGCACGAGAACATTGATACGAATCATTAAAATGGATTATCAGATATGTATGTATAACAGTATGCACAATGTGAGAATTAAATGTAGTATGTTTTGTACGAGTATGCGGAAAAGTGTTACAAAATAAATATCGGAAAGTTAAACCAAAAATAAACCCACGAGCCCAATGATGCACACAGTCGCGCCACTGGGGGCCACGGCAAAATGCAAAATCACATCACACTCACACACGACGACAAAGGAGCGCACTCCTTTTAGACACCCTCTCCCAGGGTAATCGATTATGAATGAATACAGATGGCACAGACACATACGCATACACATACGTGCTGTACGGCTGTTCTAGTGCGGATACGAACCTGTTGTGCGGCATTCTGCAGATTCAACAGCGGCTCCGAGGAACGCTTGAGGAAGAGGCGCAGCTTGTTCTCCTTCGTGGAGGTCTCCCGCTTACGCTGCGGCGATGGCGCCGCATAAAGCATTTTCGCAAAGACACGGGAACGGGATGCCAGCACGGCCTGTTAGATAGGTAGAGAGATAGGTAGAGAGAGAGAGAGACAGAGAGCGTAGGTGATTAGAAACAGTATAACTACTTGAAAAGGAACATCCATCAATTGAATATCACATAGTATATAGCACACATTTATGTATTTCGACAGCAGTAGACTTTTCCTGACTTGAAGTACTTCCAAACTCAAGCCAAGAGTCTCTTCATCGTGGCCATCGATTAGAAGAGAAGTTCTAGTTGAGGAAGCTCCACTGTAGTTGTGGCTTACTGCTAGGGTCGAGGCTGCTTGATGATTACGCAGTGACCTGATTTCAATACACACACCACACACTGACTGCCCTCTAAAAGGGGTGGCTGAAGATGATGTTGATGATGTTGATGATGATGATGATGATGTTGCTACATACCTTAACGGCACAGACGGGCTCTCGGGTGTCGCCCACCAGGAAGGTTACATCACACAGCTCCGGCATGGAGGCGAGGAACTTCATGTCCTCGGCCAGTCCCGTTTTGTTCTCGAACGTCGATAGGTCCGGCTCTGCGTCAGCCATGCCGAGCAGTATCAGCGCCTCTGGCATTTGGGTTTACTGCAATCACAACCACAAGGCACACACACACAGAGTGTGCGAGAGGCTTTAGCATCGGAGCAAAATTAATTGAAAAATTCTATAAATAATTCCTCATTATTTCCTCGTACAGGGAGGCGGACAGCTAGGCGACCGCTAGGCGACAGCGAGGCACATGGATGAAAGTCCCCATTGATCCTTTGAGACCGTACCGCCAGTACGGCTGGCAGGTAATTAAATTGTAATTTACTTTCACAAGCCAAAGTCCCCGCATCCGGCCAATCCCTAACAGACATGCGTCTGCGCCCGCCCTGCTTCTTCTGCCATTTCCTGTCGCCAGCCCCAGCCCCAGCCCCAGCCCCAGCCCAAGTCCTAGTCCCAGCTGTGCGTGTGTCACCTGTCCTGTGTGCGCCCTTGAACATAGCTAACTGGCAAATAAAATGCAATTACCATAAAGGCAAAAGGCAATGGGCGAACGGCGAACGGCGAACCATCCGAGAATGTCATCAGACAAGGAGGTACCACAACAGGCGCTCTAACTTGCTTCACAAAACAACACCAAAGATCGGGACGGGAGGTACAGGGTGGGGCTTGGCAGCAGCCTTGCAAAAGACTGTTGCATACTTCGGAAATAGTTTTGCTATGTAGTGAGATGGGGTGGGTGGGCATGCACATCGAAAGGTCAAAAGTGGCACACAACAAACGCTATTCAAAGGGAGAAATGTAATCAAGTTTACCTGAATGCTGTTAAATCTAAGTGAGTTTTTCTGCCACTGCAGTGGGAGTGGGAGTGGAAGTGGAAGTGGAAATGGGAGTGGGGCCCTGCCACATAGTACTTACCTGTTGCAATGTGAATTCGTCTCGTCTACTGGCCCTCGCTGCTAGATAGACAGTGGATTCACTCGTACATACTCGTATGTATGTACGTACGTGTCTGATTCGGATTGGTCATATCCGTTGCTTACTAAATATTAAACCATTACGGGTATTACTGCAATCCCAACATGAGCAAAGGAGGATCAAAATAAGTTGGAAAAAGTAGAGTACGAGTATTTACACCGAAATCGATCCAAAAATTAAGTGCCACAAGAGTGTACAGCATGCCAATAAATTCAAGTTTCAAATTTCAAATAGGGGGTGGTGATTTTCCAGGGGGTGGTGTCGGGATTAAGCCAAAAACTGTGCTGTGTATATGTGTAGGTGCTCAAGAACGGAAAATGATAAGGAAAAGTTGTTTGAATATGTGCCACGAATACATTTGAGAGCAAAAAGTTAGTTGGAGAAGGAGAGAGGCAATAAATTGAATTAGAATCCGTTTAGATTGTGGAAATTATGGATAATTTTTCGCTTGGTTTTCCGCCGTAAAACTAACTTTTTTCTCTGCTTTTCTCAAGTCAAACACTGGACTGGAGCCGTTGGGATCCGTTGGGTGCTACGCTGGGGCGTCACTTTCACTTTCACCACCCAGAAGCGTGCTTGTATGTGTGTGTTGTGTGTTCTGTGGTGGTAGTGGTAGTGGTTCTGCCTGCTCTTGTGCGTGGGTGTACAAATGTGTGGCAACAAAGGCAACAAAAGCAACACCACGTCGTGCCACGCTCTAGCACTCTATCCCACTCTATCTGCCACTTTCACACAGACTGCAAATATTTCTGATGCTAATGCTGTTGCTGTTGATGTCGCGGAATGAACCCGAGGGCTAACTTTTGTTCCAGTTGCAGGGATCGCTATTTCGGTCGCTATTTAATTTAATGATTAAATTTTTCTCTATCTGTGGCCAACATGCCAACACACACGCACACACACTCGGACACACAGGAGAGCGAGACAGAGAGCTGAGCTGAGCTGAACTGAACGGCGGAAGCGCTTTTTATGTGAAATGAACCGTTTCGCACGAGGCACAGGAGCGTTCTGACGACCTGACTCGAATCCCTGCCACAATTATTGTGTCTACATCGACATCGAATCCATGACACAGAGTGGAGCCTCTGCGCATGTCCTCGACCAATCGATATGTGTCCTCCGTGTAGGTGGTGGGTGGTGGCTGCCCAGGCAACAGTTTGTCCGCTGTGGGGTAGGTGGCCCTGTGGAGGCGGAGGTGGAGGCCCGCACAACGTGGCCACGACCGAGGCGACGTCGACGTCGACTTCCAAGTCCGACCAGACCACTTGTTTGCTTCATTCTCGGGGCACGCGCCTCGTGTGTTTATGTCCCCAAGGCGCAGGTGCCGTGCGAGTGGCAAACGTAAACAATCCCGCCCCGGCTCGATAGAGATGACAGTGGAACGCCACTCGACATGCGCCCCACGGTGCCGTAACTATGGCGCCACTAAGGTGCGTCCCAGAGTCCCGATTCAGAGCCAAGTAAACCAATTGAAATGCGGTGGCAACCCTCGCACATCGGCAGACCACTTGAGGAGGCAAGGGACCGGCACCCTGCCACACAGGCCACCAATGCAGGCACAGTGGGATGCAAGGCTGCAACTTGGGGTAAAATTTGTGTGGATAATAAGATTTTAAGATTTTAATTAAATATAGATATGATAGATCGTACAGATGTCTGAGGGATTGCCATCTTGAACTGGGAAAAGCAGCGCTAATTTCTTTGCTCTCTGCACACTTGAATCCCTCTGAGGGCGAGCATAAATATGTTTCTCAGTGAGTTTTCTTTCCACTGTGATCAGTAGAGGTCGCCAACTTCCGCTTTGACTGCTTGACTGCTGCTGCTGCTGGTGCTGCTGCTGCTGCTTCTGTCTCTGTTTTTGTTCCCTTTCTTCGTCCCCCTTGCCCATGACCAGCCCCTTCCCCTACCATTTCGCCGCTCCGGCCGACTGCCCTGTCACAGAGCCATTAATTACTTTCGCAGCTTCCCCAACAGAAGACGAACCACAGCCGGAGGAGAAGGAGAAACTGTCGCGCACTGACTGCTAAAAATAGTTCTCCCTTCAACAGAACCAGACTTCCAACCATAGATCTTCTGGCTGATCGGTTGAGAACTCTCGGCGGCAGGTAGTTCGGGGTTGGCAGACGGGAGACGGGAGACGGGAGTCAGTGCTGTGCTCTGTCCTGACGCCGCCGTCCCGCTGTGACCTATTGAGACCCGCTGTGACCTGTGGGTAGCGCTGGTCAACGCTTCCAATTGCATTGCCACTTGACACGACGCGACAAAATCAAACAAACAAACAAACAAACAAACAAACGAACGAACGCAAAGTCAAGGATGCCTGCAGTCGGCGGCAGTCGTGAGAAACAGCATCCCAGAGAAGAGGGGAGAGGGAATGAGGTGGAATGAGATGGGCAGAGAAGAGACGAGTTGAGTTGCGCAGACGGACGCCTCCGCAGCATTTATTTGGTCCGATTGTGGCCCGATCTCAGCTGCTGCGATTCGCATCCGCATCTCTTGTCAGTCGTCGGCGAGCGGTCGTCTCTTTCAGTTCTCAGTTCCCAGTTGCTCCGTGGAATCTCGGGAATCTTCATCCATCAGATACGCGTACAGTACATGTGCGCGGCCCTAAGTGAATTAGCCCACAATTGGGGCCCAAGTGATACACATATGTGTTGAAATGTACATTCAGTCGCTTATACGAGTGTAGTGACATAAACTCTTTCCAAGACACCACGACACGTGCCCGATCTCGGCACGCTCCGATGTGACAGCGTAAGTTCCGTTCCCCCCATTCAGCGGTCTATAAATATCGTACTCTGAAGACAAGTTCCTCAGTCTGTCTGTCTGTGCATCTGCCAGATACAAAGTGCAGCATCTAGTGATGCTTTTATGCGCCATTTTGGAATAGTTTCGGTAATTTGCGCATCTCTAAACATTTTACGGCCGCCTTTACTGTCGCACTGCGAAAAATCAGAATCAGAATCGGAATCAGAATCAGAATCAGAGAGAACCGCAGAGAAAGAGAGCGCTTAGAGAGAGTGCCAGAGAGAGTGCAGATAATATTTTATAAATAAGTGGATATGTCGAGGTTTTATTCCGATCGGCCTTTTCCCTCAACTTCCTCTCTCTCTCTCTCTCTTGGGGTTTCTCTCGAGATCTTGTTGTCTGGTCTGCGCTTTTTCCTGCAGCCGTCGGCGTCTTTGCATACATATTTACCCATATATTTATATTCATATATTCTATGGATATATCTACGTATATTTATACACAATACTACTATATGTATCTTGAAGTACTTTCATCTGCGCGATTCTATATTCATTTTGTTATATTTGTAGTGATTTCTGTGTCGCCCATTTCCGTTTGTTGTCGTCATTATTTTCATGTTGTAGATTTTGCGACTGACGCAACATGCCAACTATGCCAACATAAACGAATGTTTTCTTTCTACAGGCCGCGAAAGATAAAGATTACTTAACACATATCATCGAAGATCGATCTTGGCTCAGAACTTTTGAAAGGGGAGACTGACATAAAATATAATTATTGGTGGATTATACTGAGACTTTATTCAACTTCAATTAAGTTATGCATCTTCTCTGGTCAGAAAGTGCATTAAAGAAATATCCTATGTTCACTTCTGTCACTTCTTGTCAGCCTGAAAAGGGCAGTCAATGTCAAGAGACCGGTAAGTGCCCTGACCGAGTCCTTGTCGAAGGTTATTTACTGCTTCAATCGCTAAGTATTGCACTTATTAGTCAAGGTTGATCTAAAGCTAACAGGAAATTAGTTTTTACCCACATAATTACCCACGTACCTGTCCATCACATGCCTCTGAAGATACCTTCTACATTAGAGTGCGCTTGCTTTTAATTATCAATTTAAACGACAAGCAACAGGATGCCACCTCAACAGCAGCCGGATATATAGTTGTGAAGAGGCTTCTCCAGCTCTCAGGCAGCTGCTCCGCCATGGAGAGCCTTTCACGTCATTGCACGGCCCGGCCCGGCCCGGCTAGAGCGGCGGTGACTGGGAGAGAAGCCGATAAGTGCATTTGTGTCGCATCCGTTCATGTTCTGATTAGATGAAATTACAAACGCACGCGCCCGGCACCAGAGAACGAATACACCGCCAACAGGACCCAGAGCCTCCCCCCGAGAGTAGCAGCTGCATGGAAAATTGAAAAAGGAAGCTTGGTTCAGGCCAAAACTGACGCACAAGCGTGTCCTCCGTTCCCCTCCCGACCCCTCCCGCCACCTGCCTGGGTATCGCAATGCTGCTGCAACGGCTGATGGAGCTAAATTCAATTTCCAGCCGTTTGCATTAATTTCCCAGAGTCCGCCTACCACCAGAGTGCGCCAGTGAGCGAGGTCTCTTCTTGGGGCTACTCCTGCCAGCATTTTTGCAGCCCAGCCCACCACACACCCCCAAACAGCAACAGCTTTCGACGGATATCAGCGAGTGCTGCTGGGGGAAAGCGGCGAGTGCTTAGGGGAGGCTGCAGCGAGTGTAGGGAATTTCCGAGCCCGTATTCGTGTCTGTATCCTGAACGCAGCTCGATTTCAGCGCAGGATATTCGTTTAAACTCCGGGAGATGCCGATGCCAATGCCGATGCTGATGCCGTCGCTCCTCTGCTTCTGATGCTGGCCGGGCAATAAGAATTTCCCCATTTTCAGTCTTCGTTTGACGAGCGACGTGCGCGCAAGTATTTCGCAAAACACGCGGATGGACGGACCGCAAGAGCAAGAGCAACAAAACAGTACAATAAACCAAGAACAGCCAGAGCAAGTGCCCGAGCAAGGGCCCGAGCAAGAGCAAGAGCCAGAGCAAGGGCTTGGGAAAATGTTACAACAACAGCATCCACGGGAGGCAGCAACTAGCAGCAGAAAATGAAAAGCGGAGAGAAAACGTGAACCTTTTCCTGCAATTTTCTGTAGTGTAAAACGTGAAAAGTGTACGATTTTCGGGCGGATAGTAGTACAAATTTGAATTTTTTTCTGCTAACATTTTTACAGCAGCATCGAAAATTGTGGCCCACACCTCATCAAAAAACGAAAGCGAATAATATAAAGTGTGCGCTATGGTAAATGCTATGAAATATTAAACCACAAATAAATACGAGTAGTTACAAAAAAGTGCAAACAGAAGCGCGGAAAAATGAAACCACATCAAAGGACATGCAAATTAATTCGATATTGGAAAAAATTCGATGGAAAATCTAATGAAAAATTTGTTGAGCTGCAGGGAAAATTTCATTATTCTGCGCGTGTGTGTGTGGTGTGTGTGAGCATGTGTGTGTTCTGTGTGTAGTATCTTTTGTGCGCCACGGCTTCTATGTATCTGTGAGATACGCAAAACAATTTGTCTGCGCCATTAGTAGCGAAACGTTCCTCAGCTTTTGCTGAGGCATGTGCCCAGTGTGTGCGTGTGTGTGTGTGTGTGTGTGTGTGTGTGTGTGTGTGAGTGTGTGCGAGCGTCTGTGGCTGTATCTGTATCTGTGTGTGTATGTGTGTGTTTATTCTGCGCAGTCGACGAAAATGAAGCTGCGTTTCGCATTCGATGCTGCCATACAGGACATAGCAGCAGCAGCAGCCAAGCCAAGGGAGCAGGCAGCCGTGGCAGGACGAACGGCAGCGCAATATTTGCGATGTTGACGCAGCCTCCCTGCCCCACCACTCGCTTCTGTTGTGGCGTCCCCGCAGCATGTGTATCTGCAAAATACAGATACTCGCCCATCTATCCACCCATCCATATAATGGACAAGTACATGTGTTTGTCCTGCGAAATGTGGACAAACATTTGCACTTTTATTAAAAAGTTAACGGGAAATAATGCAGCCACACCCCCCACCCACATATTTATTTTCTGGCGAATTTATGCTCGAATTTCCGTGAAAAGTCGAAAGACCTGAGAGAGCATAGTAATTATCCAAGCAAATAAAAGGCCCATAGCACTCGTAGAGACAGAGAGAGCTCTGGTTTGGAGCGTTTTCGGTAATCAATTGGGGAGGCATTCTGCCTGATTGGGTTCCGCCGAAATCAACCGAAAGCCAAGCAGAAGAGCAATTTGGTAAATCAAGTTTCAGAGTTTCATGGAAATGAATTCTTTTGACCCATAGAGGCAGATAACGCTACTCCTTTCCATTGTTATTTGAAATAAAGATTTAATTACTTTTTATATGTATAATTATCGGGTAGATTGATCTGTTCCTTGAGGAAACAACTGTAGAATGTTTGCTAAAAGTTCGTAGTAGTTCGAATCCATTTGCTATTAATTTTTAGGAACTACTTTAGCTATTTCTGATACTTCTGATGCTTTCCTCTTCAAGTCCCGCCAAGTAATAATACTCCAATTGGAAATAAACACGAAGTAGAGTCTCCGATGATTCCACTCCAGTCTTATGCAGCAAGCAGCGGAACCACCCGCAGTGTCACAGTGTCCTCAGTGGGACACTTGTCCGTGTCTTGAACTCCCCGGCTCCACTCGAGTTTGCTTCCTTCTCCGGCGGGGGCTTCCAGCGGGTAGTTTGTGTTAGTTTCCTCAACTTTTGCCGCCACTCCGCACATCTCTTCCCGTGACTCCACCTGCATCCCTTCTGGAGCTGCTTCAGTGTTCCGTTACTCGCAGAACTTCTAACTTCCACTCGCTGTGGCTGAGGCTAAGGCTGAGGCTGTGGTGGTGACTGCAGAGGGGCGGCGGGGAGTGAGTAGTGCCAGAAGAACTCTCAAGATACTCGCTGGTTTTTCACTTTTTTTCGCTTTTCTTTTTACGAGGCGTGTTCTATCCATGTGTGTGTGCGTGTGTGTGCGATTTACAATTCCGTTTTGTTGTTGTTTTCGCCGTTGTACAACTGTGCGACAGCCATTTTGTATAGCATATTTTGCGTACTATGAACACACACTAACACACAGATACTCTCGCACACCAAACACATACAGACAACGAAGAGAGTTTCCATTTTTTTTCTAGGAGAATTTCCCAACTTTTCAGCTAGCCCAACATTCTGTTTTTTTTTTCTTTTTCTTTTTTTGGGGGGTTTTTCGTTTGGGCAAAATAATAGAATAGAAAATGCCAAAAAGCGAAAGGCAAACAACACGAAAAGGAAAATGCTTTCTCTCTGTCTCTCTCTTTCGCTTTAGCTACTCTTCACAGCTCTTCATCCTTCATCTCTCTCTCATCCTTTCGGTCGTCTATCCCCAAGTCTAGTATCCACAAAACAAGAACAGGCAAAGAAAGGAGAAGAAAACGCGTATTCCGAAAAATCAAATAAAATAGATGCAGTTGTCATTTGGCTGGCAAAAGAAATCCCAAAGCGAAAATGCGAGAAAATGCTTGGGCATCAGAGTATCTGTGAGATATGGATTTGTGTGTGTAACGTATGTATGATCTGTAAGTGTCTGTGGAAGTAGCCATGCGAAATGTTAAAAGTGAATTTGTACGACGCCCATGGAGAAGTGTAGAAGCTGCACCAGCACAAGTACCAAAAAAATACAGCCATCCACAAGGCCCCAAAAATTATGAATATTTCCATGGAAATACATTTGCTTTCTAGCTAAAACTATATGTCTAATTTGAGTTTGGGGAAAACATTCTATGAAGCATTCTCATGCGAAACGCGATTGCTAATTAAAATTTGCTACAAAATGCTACAAATTGAAAGCATTTCTAAGAAAATTTGGTTGTGGTACAGACAGAGGGGAAAAGTGCTTTTCCTTTCTGTTGAAGTTTATTTCATTGTTCAAATTGAATAGAAATTCGCTTGAAACTACTCCAAAGCCACTTATTTGTTTTTTTCTATTACTTTTTATTATCAGAGAATTCTTTTCATTAAATTTCATGGGAAACAACTGTTATTGGCCATTTCGAATTTTGCGATATCAAGCCACGCTTCAATTGATTCAAGTTTTAAATTCTGGGCTTTTGTGCTTGATTATCTACTAATTCTGATGAGTTTCGAATTCGTGTGAAATGATCCGATTGTGCTTAGATTACAGCTTTTTCCTGATAACTCCCTTAATGCGCCTTTGACATGCAATTCAAGGAATCTGATTCTGCAATTTCCACAATGCTGGCCTTATTAGGGAACGCAGACATTCCCGAGAATGACCCAGCCATTGTGTATTACAATTCGTAGAAAGGCTCTCTTTGGCCTTTCAATTAGTCTCAACCATTGACCCAATTCCGTGCCTTTTCCGCATCCCGTATCGCATTTCCAAAAAGCAGAGTTGAGGAATAATTGAAAAGTGCAGTCGGCCTGCATCAGCAGCATTTCAGTGGCGTGGCTGCAGTGGCTGCTGTTGCTGCTGTTGGCCAAATGTCAGGAAATCTGAAGGCTGTCATCGATTTTGGCCCTTGGCTGGGGAGGGTACAATGTGGCTGGCGTATGGGCCTTTATGTGTGGCCTCCTAATGCACGTCCTCTAATAATGGAAACTTTATTGCAATTTCGGATGCTCCCTTCTGCTTTCCGGGGGCGGAGGAATGGCTTCCTGGAATTTGGGCCTGGCCTGCACTCGAAATGGCATGAGTATCAGAGGAGAGGAATGCATTGCTGAAACTGACTGACTAAATTAGGCTAATAAATGCGATTATGGAAGGTCATTACGTGGGCAGCACCGTGTCTGCTGAATAGCCAATTAGCATTTGCCCCATTAATCACGGCTCTTTGTTATATTCCGATTAATTAATTATAGATTTTCCCGGAAGTCACAAATCATCAACATCACCTGTAAGGCAGCCACAAAGCACACACGGATACCCGTGGGAGCCACAGCAATGTGTTGCCTGCATTTGAAGAACTTTAAATGCGGCCATCCGCGCTCATTGACATCCAACAAAAGTTAAGGACACCAGCGCATAGAGTCCGGCAGTCCAGCCGAGATACACGCACCACACCACACTCATCCACACTCATCCGCTAGAGGACTCTCCACACAGCAAGCCCGGCGGAAACAGAACTCCAGCAGGCGGACACGCTCAGAGTGGGACTTGGGGGATCTGGGATCCGATTAGGATGCCCCGGCACAGGCAAAAGGGTTGGGCCTGGCTGCTGCTGGTGCTGGCCATTTGGGTGGGCGTGGGTCCGTTTCCGGGTCCGTGTCCAGCTCTAGCCCAGCGACCACTGCTCGCCAACCACACCTTCAACGCGCTGCCCAACTACAACAACAACAACTGGGCAGGTGGCAAGCAGCTGCGGAATGGAAGGCTCCACGAGCAGCCCCTGCCCCTGCCACAGCCTCAGCCGACGGTGACAGGCATCTACGATGACTACGAGGGGGAGAGTGGCTCCCGAGCACCACCACCGCGACGCCGCCAGAATCTCGCCCGCCGTGGCATGGATTCGCTGCGCAAGGAACTGATGAAGCCATCGGTGGGCGGACCCGGCGGTGGCATATCCGGCAGCAGTGCCGGCTATCCCTCCTACTCCGGCACCTCCTCGATAGGCCGCATCGACGGCCTGGGCCTGGGCATGGGCTCCGCCGACCGCTATGGGGAGCAGCTGCGTCAGCCGAGCGGCGCCGCAGCCATGACCGCCGGACCCGTGGTGGGCCCCTACTCCACCCGCTTTCCTCCGTTGTACGCTGGCGTCGATGAGCAGCAGCCGAAGCGAATGTACTCGCGCAAGAACTCCATCAGCGAGCTCTACAAGCTGAAGAAGAGCCTCAACCAGGCGGACGAGCCTGCTGGCGGCGTGACCCATGGCAACTTTGAGGGCGACCCCGTGGTCAGTCCCCAGGGGGTGCCAGTGGATCTGATACAGGAGATCAAGGACCGCATCAGGGACACGGAACCCAATGCGGTACGAGCCTGCAGCTGCTTATTCCTTCTGCTTGAACCTTCGCTGACTTTCGCTTCTTTCAGAACACATATTCAACCCACACGGAGTCGACCCCATCCTCGGAGTACGAGTACGAGCTGGGGGTCAAGTGCAACTTTGAGACACCCTGCAGCTGGTCGTGGGTGGACTACCCGGACGGCTTCCAGGTGCTTACTGGCACAGAGCTGGCCAAGCGAAACATGACCGGTCTGCTGCCCGGGCCAGTGGCCGACAGCATCGACGACGCCAACGGGCACTTCCTGTACGCCCGCGTGCAGCCCAGCACCAAGCCCCTGAACCTCACGTCTCCGGAGTTCAGCACGACCATGGAGAAGTGCTTCCTGGAGGTGTACATGCACCAGAGCGACATGAGCCACGGCCTCTCCCGCGTGGTGGTGGAGCCACTGCACACGCAGGAGAGCAGCTGGGTGCCGGCCGAGATCCAGGGCGACAACTTTCGCACTTGGACACGCAAGGTGTACCGCCTGGGACGCATCTCCCGCGACTTCCGCATAGTGTTCGAGATCGTGCCGGACTTGAAGGCCGGACAGAAGGGGCATGTGGCGCTGGACAACCTGCGGATGGTGAACTGTTTCCCGGAGGGCACCAAGGCCGAGAAATGCAGCACGTCGCAGGTCAAGTGCACAAACAACAGAGTTTCCGTTTGCATCCATCTGCCACGAATCTGTGACATTACCCGGGACTGCGACGAAGCGGAGGACGAGCATCAGTCATGCGGTGAGTGGGGTGGGGATTCATTCTTAATACCAACACCAAGTCACCGTCTTGCTTACCTCTTCCTTCACAGACAAGATACCCTATGGCGGTCGCTGTGACTTCGAGGAGGACTGGTGCGGCTGGCGCGACTCCGGCAAGACGACGCTCACCTGGTCGCGCCACACGGGCTCGTCGCCCACCCACGACACGGGCCCCGATGGCGATCACACCCTGCAGCACCTGCTGAACAACACCAGCGGCTACTACATGCTGGTCAACATGAATCAGCACATGAACGACACGGAGAAGAACTCGATAATCGGCTTTGCCAGCAATGCCATCATGCTGAGCAAGACGTTCAACCCGCCGCCATCGGTGCACGGCAATCCGGACTCTCCGTACCGCAACTCGTGCGTCGTGCGGTTCTTCATCCATCAGTTCGGCAAGAATCCCGGCAGCATCAACCTCTCCGTGGTGGAGATGAAGGAGAAGGAGAATATCACCACCACGCTCTGGTGGAGCACCAAGAACCAGGGCAGCGATTGGCTGAGGGCCGAGTACGTCCTGCCCAACATTACGTCCAAGTAAGTAGAGGGGGGACAATGGCTTCCCAATGGGATATTATTTAACCTGATCTCGATCTGCCTCTTTGCCAGATACTATCTTCAGTTTGAGGCCCGCATGGGCATGAGAATCTACTCGGACGTGGCCGTGGATGACTTCTCGCTGAGCCCCGAGTGCTTTGGCCTCAACATTCCTGAAGAGCACCTCAACGGCTACAACTACTGGGATGTGCGACTGAACCTCAAGAGTCCCACCTACCGAGACTTTGAATATACCAATTGTAAGTGTGAGCCTTAGCCTCCGCGGGTCGAGTCCTGATTAAATCTCCTTTTTTCTCTGCCTCAGACCTGGAGCTAACCAGCTGCGACACTCGTGGCATGATAGGCCCCACTCATTCGCAGTGCGAGAGCGCCTACAAGGAGCAGAACAAGACGCACATTCTGCGCGAGGTGCATGTCGTCGAGGATCAGAGCAGCTACAAGGGCATGCAGAAGTGGAAGGTGCCCAACGAGGGACACTACACGTAAGAACATCAATGACAGTCCAGTACTTCAGTACTTGGAGTACTCACACTTTCCCCTTCCCTTTGCAGCATCATTGCCAAGGGAGCGAGTGGAGGGCTCGGATCGGGTGGCGTGGGCAGCTCGCGCGGATCTGTGGCCGTGGCCGTCCTGGAGCTGCACAAGAACGAGGAACTCTATTTCCTGATTGGCCAGCAGGGCGAGAACGCCTGCATCAAGTCCATGGGCGCACCCAAGGAGGCAGGCTGCGGCACTGACCACGACCTGGACCTGGCCCAGTACAGCTTCCGCTCCAAGCAGGACATGGTCAAGAACATCTACATCGAGAACGGGGCCGGTGGCGGCGGCGGAGGGTCCTTCGTCTTCCTGTTGAATCAGGCCAAGAACGAGGCTGTGCCGCTGCTGGTGGCCGGCGGAGGAGGAGGCCTGGGCATTGGCCAGTACATAGACGAGGACTTCCAGCACGGCCAGAAGGCGAAGCCGCTGCAGGCGCCGGAGAGTGGACAGATCAATGGCGAGCCACTGAACAAGAAGACTGCAGGACCAGGCGGCGGCTGGCGGGCCAAGGAGGATCAGGCTCTGAGTCCCACCAATGGGGCTGCCCTGCTGCAGGGCGGTCGCGGCGGACACTCCTGCTACGTGGAGCTTGCAGACAATGGCACCACCGTCCATCGACATGGCCAGGGCGGATTCGGAGGCGGCGGAGGTGGCTGCAACACGGGCGGCGGAGGCGGCGGCTATGCCGGCGGCGATGTCTACCTGAACGAGTCGAACGGTGAGGGCGGCAGCTCATACATCAGCGCCAGCCGCAGCCTGCGGGAGATCGGTGAGGTGTTTGCGGGGGCCAGCAGTGGTCCGGGATCCGTCATCATCATCCCGGCCATCGAGGGCTGTGGCTGCGACTACCGCTGCGTGGCCCTGGACGAGTTCCGCTCGAAGGTGCGCTGCATATGTCCGGACGGCTGGAGCCTCAAAAAGGACAACAACACAGCCTGCGAGATACGCGAGGAGGCGGGCAAGTCCTCCTTCCAGCACCTGGTCTCCATTCTGATATTTTCCTTGGCGGTGCTCTTCTTCTGCATTGCGGCCCTCATCTTTATGCTGTGTAAGTGTTGCATCGGGAGATCCCATTATCCTTTATCCCTTATCCCTTATGCCATGCCTTTTGCTCGACAGACAATCGCTATCAGCGCAAGAAGCAGACCAAGAAGCGCCACAAAATGCTGGTGGAGCAGGACCTGCAGCTGACGAGGCTGCGCCACAACATCGACGACTCCAACCTGAACAACTTCAATCCCAACTACGGCTGCGATGCCATCCTCAACGGCCACATTGATGTGAACAGTCTGCCGCAGGTGGGCCGCGACAGTCTCCAGTTGGTCAAGTAAGTTCCATCTGCCATCTTCCGTCGCCAGCGAGGACTCCAGCTAATCACTCCTCCTGTTCTGATTGCAGTGCTTTGGGCAAGGGAGCCTTTGGCGAGGTGTACATGGCCCTGTACCGCCATCGCGATGGTGATGCCGTGGAGATGGGCGTGGCTGTCAAGACACTGCGCGAGGATCCCAAGCGCGAAAAGGAGGAGGACTTCCTCAAGGAGGCGGCCATCATGGCCAAGTTCAATCACCCCAATATGGTGCACCTGATCGGTGTCTGCTTCGACCGGCAGCCCTACTACATCGTCCTGGAGCTGCTGGCCGGCGGAGATCTGCAGAAGTTCCTGCGCGAGAACCGCAACACACCGGAGCGGCCCTCGCTGCTGACCATGAAGGACCTGCTGTTCTGCGCCCTGGACGTTGCCAAGGGCTGTCGCTACATGGAGAGCAAGCGGTTCATCCACCGCGACATCGCCGCCCGCAACTGTTTGCTGAGCAGCAAGGGACCCGGACGCGTGGTGAAGATTGCGGACTTTGGCATGTCGCGGGACATCTACAGATCGGACTACTACCGGAAGGGCGGCAAGGCGATGCTGCCGATTAAGTGGATGCCGCCGGAGGCCTTCCTCGACGGCATCTTCACCTCCAAGACGGACGTGTGGTCCTTTGGCATCCTGCTGTGGGAGGTCTTCAGCCTGGGTCGTTCCCCGTATCCGGGCCAGCACAACACCCAGGTGATGGAGCTGGTGGTGCGAGGCGGTCGCCTGGGCACCCCCACCGAGTGCCCCGTGTCCATATACAAGATCATGGCCGACTGCTGGAACCCGACGCCGGAGGACCGTCCCACATTCACCAGCCTGATGGAACACCTGACCACCTGCTCACAGGACCCGAGCATCATGAACGCCCCGCTGCCCAATATCCTGGGATCCGGGACGTCCTCCGACCGCGACGACACCATCATCCGACCCCCCAATGGGGAGGAGTTCTGCCTGGCCATACCTGATTACCTGGTCCCCCTCCCCAGCCACCTGGCCCATCACTTGCCCAGCAGCTCCGCCTATATCCCGCCCCAGCGCAAGCAGGCGAGCTCGTGCACCCCTCCTGCGGTGTCCTCGCCAGCGACGCCCCATCCCAAGCCCGTCGTCCTGCCCGACCAGCAGCTGGAGACCTCCTTCATCTTGCCCAACTCGAAGAGTGACCAGCCCCTACTGAGCGCTGGAGCGCCCATCACCACCACGGCGCCCATTAGCGTCCCCAGCCCACCCCTAGCCGCATCCCCACTTCTAGCCCCCGCACCGAAACCGGCCGCCGACCAAGCAGCAGAGGCTGTCGAGAGCCAAACCTACAACGACGAGGGGAAGCTAATTAGTTTGGACACGCCGCAACCGACGCCGACCACCATCCAGCCGCCGTTGTCCTTCACCTCGCAGCTGGACGGGATCACGCTGGATCCGTCGACACTGGCCAAGAGTCTAACCAATGGCTCGGGCAAGCAGTCGTACGCCAACGTGCAGGTCAAGTGCGAGCCGGAACAAAAGGCCATGCCCAATGGTAATGCCAATGGCAATGGGAACGGCAATGGCGCTGTGGTTAATGGGGAGAGTCCGACGGCTGTGGGAGCTGCCGGGGACCGGGACCCTCCGTTCACCATCCAAGGCTACGCGGAGCGGTACAAGGACAACAACAATCATTCCGAAATCAGTTGCTAGACACAAGGTGTCTCGCCGCCGGCCCCAGGGTGACGCTGTCCTTACCGTACCGTACCGTACCGCTTCCGTACCACTTCCGTACGATCCCCAATCCAATCCACAATTTGTTCGCGTTTTACGAAGCGCATTGATTGATCTGATCCGATATGATCTGATTGATTCAATCAGAAATATTTAACAGAAAACAAAAACAAAAATCGAGTGAGAACTTCACACTAAAATTGTATTGTAATTAAAGCGTAAATTTGTATCGTGCGAAAATGGAAAACCGCTGAGGAAACTCCATGCATGCAAGTGAGAATACACACATTAATTAGTTGGAAAACTAGTTTAGTTTTGTACCAGACATTAGTTTTGCCAAAGAAAACAAAAAACAAAACGAAAAACAAAATCGAAAAAAAAACCAAAAGGATTTACCATAAATTGCGAGAGGTTGTATATATCAATTGAGTATAATATATATTATTTGATTCTATGATTATATGATCATGCATATGTATTGTGTGTACCCCTTAGGTTTTTGTTCTGTTCATCTCTTTAGTTACCTTTAGTTTCGTTTTAAGCTGATGACTGAAATGCCAAACAATATTCCTAAAATATAACAAAACGCGAGAGAGAGGAGAAAGAGTTTGATTATTTTTTATACGCAGTCCATGATCGGGAACCAAAAAACCAAAGCAAAGCAAAGCCAACTCAAAGTAGTTCAAAGTTCAAACCGCCACATACACACACCACACTCTCCTCCTACGTATATACTTACATACATATATATATATTCATATCTGATTTCTTTATGATTCTGAGTTTTATCCGAACGAACATGTAAATACCAAACAAAAGCTTCCGTCGTAGCGAATCACGTTTATTGAATGTATTTATATTAGAATAAGAGAACAAAAGATAAACCATGTAGCGAGTAAAATACGATAGATCGAAAAGAATACAATTTACAGGGTGATTTTTATGAAAATTCAGTTGTATGTTTGAAAAACAGAAATTAGCATTAGCATTTACGAGAAACCCCGATCGAGGCGGGAGAGCTCCGCTTCCCACAGTGTTGTGTGTTGTTGTGCGACCCTTGGCCAATGTACTAAATGTGGACTGGTTCTGGTTGTGCACAACATGCTCTTAGCACGGCCCTGTATTTGTTCATCATTATAAAATGGTTCTGTTCGAGATTCGAAATTTGAGATTTTGTACATTTAGTTGGAACGTAACAAACAAGCTTTAAATTATATAATTTTTATAAAGATATATAAACGGATATACAAGTGAGGCGACAACATTATATTTAACAAAAAACCAAAAACCAAAAACAAAAGAAACAAACAAACAAACAAAAAAAGGAAACCAAAAATGAAAAATTAAATATTAAAAATAAATAAAATTATACAAGATCAAGTGACATATGGCCCCTATATGTATGTGTATATCTATATCTAGATCTAAGAAAATTAAAACGGGCGTTTGCACTGCAACCGCAACAACAAACAAATCGAAAAACGAGAGATACATACATATATACACACAAACATATATATATATATATATATATATATGTATATAAAGAAAACGATACAAAATACCGATACTTATAGTACTTATATAGGAGGGATAATGTGTACGTTAACTTGAACGGCATCGTTATGGTTATCGTTATCGCTATCGTTAAGATGAACGTTACGTCTATGTTTCGCTTTGTGTACCAGTCTACAGTTATATATGCGCATACATTTACATATACACATGGCATACATACTCTCGTACTCGTATACATATATACGTATATTATATATCCAGCTAATATATCTAACTATTATATACAAACATACATATAAACGACAAACTCAGCCGTAAATTAATGCTGAATACGCGGTAACCAAATGGGAATATCTGTAAATTATACTTATAATTACACACACACACCATACACCATACACCATACACACACACACACACACACACACATTTTACAGGTTACTCGAAATGATTGAATTTTGAATTTGAATTGATCGTCACCCCATTGAAAAACTGTACAAAACAAATACAAACGGATCCAATGAAATGTACGATACAAAGTGAATATCGAAATAAAAACATGCAAACATAAACCCACGTGTATCGAAGGCTCAATGATATATATGCATATATGTATAAGTATATACACAATTGATCCTCCTCAGCATCCACAGCATGCATATAAAACACAGAAGTACACTTAGTATTTATATTTAATCTAACCTACAACCTACGAAACAGTATTCTTTCGGTTGTTGCTCATTTATTGTATACATTGTATCGTATGTGTGTATCTATTATGGTTGTGCCGATTACACATCTCTAGGAGATCGTTGCCGCTCAGTGGAGATTAGTCTGTCCGATGTATACATCCACTCCACACACCCCACAGACACACGAATACCCACATTTTTGTACCCTGATGACATTACCTTGTGTACCTAACGTCCAGAACCTGACACACACAGAAGAATTACCCGTACATATGTATATCCACGGAACAGATAGCTGTTGATTGATTGATGATTGGTTGAGATTGTTTGGTTCGATAGCTGAAACATTCTGGACAACAGTTTGATTCTTTGGTTCGGTTCGCTGTTGATTGTTGTGCGGCTCATTAATTTGTAGATTGAACCCAGATTAGGATGCAAAATTCTGAGCTAAGCTCATTGTTGATTTTTGGAAAATGTTTCAGATTCTTTGATACATTGATTCTACAGAGGGTCAGTGTGAAAGAAACGGATATTGCAAATATTGGGCCCCTGGTCGATTAATCAGATAGATAATGTTACGGATTCAGAGATATGTAGATTCATTATTTGTTTAGCTCAATATTCTGGTTGACTAAGGAACTCTGATCCATACAGATCATTTCCAGTCAGGGGCGCCACAATATTGATGATTATTTCCATAGTTCAGGTTGATTCTTCAGATTGACTGCCAAGAAGCAGGACGAACCACTGGTATCCCCAAGTTCAGATGTTGAAGAAGCGCACGCAAACAGATTCTCATGGATGGATAGCACCAATTTGATTGACTTGAACGGGAGCGATTTTCCAACCGATATCAGTAGCTTCGAAAACACACACAACTTATTTCTCAACAATAAAAATTCGCAACGAAATTTAGAAAAATGAAACAAATTAACCCATAAAGAAACCTATTTAGGTAATGGAGTAAACGTATAAATGTACTCGAAAAACATCCAATAAATAGTATTTTTATATATTGAAGTAAAACACCCAAAAAAAAATAAGGAAAAAGAATAGCAAAAAGATTGAAATGCAAGTTTAGTGCATGCGAAACAAGCTTCAACTTAGCTCTAGATATAAATGTATTAATAAAATATTACAAACAATTGATGGTTTTCATTTAAAATCGTAAATTATTTTGTTACATTAAACTCGATATAGAAACGAAAAAAAACCAAAATAAATAAAAAAGAAACAGAAACGCAAAGACTAGAACACACATTTTGAAAGCTGGAAAACCGACGAGTTTTTTAGCAAGAGTGGATTTACGGATTGAAGGATTGAATGAGTGACGGATGGATGGATGGATTGGTGGCAAGTTATATATATTATTCATATATAATACGAAACAAACAATACACAGCAACAAAAGTCCACTTAGTGAGTACTAAGCAGAAGATAACAAATCAGGCACCCACGCAGCAATAAAACTCGTAGAATCTTTGCTCAGATTTCCATGCTGAACAAACGGAGAATTCTTAATCTTGCATTATATAATTTCCAAGTCGATTTAAGCTGTATAATGAAACACTTGCTAAGATACATACATGTATAACTGTCACATGCACCCATGCTCGTAAGCCCACAAAAAACATCTCTAAAGTTCTCTCAAAACTCAAATTCTCTGGATTTCCATATCCCTGGTTTTCTTCAAGCGTATTTTTTTGTCATGGACTCGAGGACGAGTCTATATTGCGAGTATCTCTAAACGTAAGCACATGTACCACAAAACAAATCGAAAAAATATATATATCTAATTAACGTCTGTATTTGGAGCTAGTGGCGGGAAAGGGATTTTAATGTTGGAAGCGTGTAAGCGTTCGATTGATTGTGAAGTGACAAAAACTGAGAAATAATAAAAATGAAAATTCATGTGTACAAAAAAGACGCATACGTTTCACCGTATTTTTATTTAACAGAAGATTGGGATGGGGTTGAACTGGAACTTAAACTTGAGCCCCCTCTAATATTAAACACTTTTCTGTAGAAATTTCTTCATAATTTTCTGTTTTATTGAGTTCTTTTGGTTTTGTTAGACTGAATTATAACCTGTTTGTCTTCATTTCATTTCCACACAACATTTCTTTTGATGGCCAATAATAACTAAACCCCATATATGGCTATAGTTTTCCTCTTTCCGTTTTTTTAGATATTATTTTAAGTTAGTTTTGCATTATTCCTTTGCTTTTCTAGAGGCTAATTTAACATTTGTATAGGGAAATAATAAGAAGAACGCGCTGGTATAATTGTATTATTATTTTGGAAGTGTATTTTATTGATGCACTGCAATTTACAAATCGATTTAGAAATAAAACATAATAAATTCTAGGCATAACATAAAATATTCCATATTCAATATTCAAAATTCAAAATTGCACAAAGAACGAACCCGAGAACGATGCATAGAACAAATCGATCAAACGAGACGGGAAGCTAGGGTCCAAAGTGGAGGAAGAGTTGAGTTGGTTGATGACCCGATTTCCTACTAACTGGATGGAATGTTCTTACTATATGTGTATCTATGTTTCTGTATTATGTTTTCGTGTGTGTATGTGTGTGTGTGTGTGTGTAGGTTTTCTATAATTTAATTTATCGCCTTTATATATAAATTTTCATAATCATGTTTTCGCTAAATGGTTTCGACTCAAAAAACTCTTCGTTTTTTTTGGGGCAAACTCTTATTCTTTTTGTGGTTTTTTTTTTGCGCTGGTTAACCTTAGATTTAGGTTTTAGACTGCAAATGCTATTATGTTTCTGACGATTTCATATAAATATAATTCTGGTTTTAATTATTAATTTATTATTATAATTACTCATTATCGTTTATTATTTGTATTTTTTTGTGGCTTTTCGCTTCAATTTCTCTTTCCGCCATACATTACATATATATGGTACATATACATAAATTGAATTCTGTATATATGAATTTGTTGCTCCTGCCGTATATATTTGTCGCTTTTGTTTTGTTTTGTTTTGTTTTGCTTTCTTTTATATAAATTGAAAACTTAATTGTAAATGTAAAAATGTTAAAACTACATTCAATTATAAATAATGTTGGTTTTCTCTTTAATTCTCTTCGCTTCGCTTCGTATTATTTATATGCAATTTTCGCTCGTTACGTAGTAATATTTATAATTAATATTAATTAATTAGCATAGTTTACGTTACGTGTATGTAATTTTTAAAGCAATAACAAGCCATTTCTTTAATTTCAATTATTCTCTTTACTAATCATTGTGGAATTAATCGCCTTTGTTTCATTTATATATCTTTATTGTTTTGGGATGTACTAATCATGCAAATTGCTTCTCCACCGATGAACCGCGACTCTGATTTTATAAATTCACTCGATTCCCATTCCCAATCCCATCCCTCATCGCTGCATGGAAAAAGTCGGAATTCCTTTTTCTAAGGGGTTTTGTTTTGCCCCACATTCTCCTTTAAATATTTCACAAAAACTTTACAAACTCGCTGAGGGAGAAGGCTGGTGGGGAAGAGAGAGGGAGAGAGAGAGAGGGACGCATGGGATCCTCGGCCATTGCACCTTATGGATGACGGATAATGGAGGCTAGATGCTGGATTCTGGTTGCTGGATGATGTGCGACAAATGCCATTTTATTACCCCGATGTGTTGTTATAATTATTTAATCTGTTCTCTTTTTTGTTGTATCCATGTGGTTGTTGTTTTGGGGGGTGTTTGTGTGTGTGTGTGTGTGTTTACTCCTTGTTACATATATGTATATAAAAATTAAGATTATAATTATTCGCTAAAAACCTCTAAAATGTACGCCGTGTTAAAGCATTTAGAAATCGCAAAGAAAGTCCCACGCATCGCATCGACCCTCCTCCTGGCCCTCCAGATCCAGATCCCCATACATATATCCATAGTTGTGGCTCACTCGTGTCAGTTTATTACAAAAACGGTATCAAACGCGCCATCTTCAGCGCGTTGTCCAGGAAGCCGCTCCACATGTCGTTCAGGCGCTTCGAGCGCGACATCAGGAAGCGCCAGGTGAGCAGCACGGCGACCAGTTTGGTCAGCTGATGCAGATAGTAGAGTCTGTCGGAACAGTCAGAGTGTTAAGGGCTGCCTTGCATGGGTTTTCATAGTATTCAGAGCTCACCTGACCATACGCTTTCTGCTGTCTGGCAGCGACTCGGGCCGCTGCTTGAACAGGAACTCCCTGAAGCCGAGCACATAGCGCTCGACGTACTTGTCCCAGTGTATGTGGCGCACATCGAACACAAAGATCTCGCGATCCTTGGGGCTGAGCGTGTGCAGCAGAGCGTGGACGTTGTCGTCCTTGAAGCGCCATTGGCGTGTGGCAAAGTACTCTAAGCACTCCACAGCTTTGGCAATTTTATTTTGTACGTTGACAACGCTGCGGAAAAGGACAAATGAAAATGTGTTAGAGGGCATTTGATCTTCGCTAGGACTGCCGTTGGTCAGGGCGATAGGCGATACTCACAATGGCTTCTTGCCCATCAGGCGCGCCACTCCATCCACTATGTAGGCCGGTAAAAAGTGTTTGACTATGCAATTCAGCGTATTCATGGGGCGGTTCATGCGCAGCTCCCCAGTTGGATACCACAGGCAGCCCTCTGTGTTGTGAGTGGGGGGAATAGGAATAGATGAATGTGCAATTAATGTTGGGTAACGATTTCGTATCATATTTTGGAAGATGGCCTCACCCAAGGGATGCTTGCGCACACTGCACATGGCGTACTTGACAAACTCCGACCAGATGAGGGGATTGCGCTGGCCGGTGCAGCAATTGTATATGAGTAGATTATTGGATTTATGCGTCGCTGTGCGCCAGGCGGCGGCAATCATCAGATTAATCACAATATCGACAGGTACCATATCGGCCACATAGTTCTTCTCGCACATCATCGTGCGGAACATGCCCTTGGCCAGCGCCGAGACCAGGCCCGTCGGCCCATTAAAGTTGTCCACCCAGCCAGCAAACGGCTCGTTCAGGCTGGCAGTCACTGTGATAATTGGGGGGAGAGACAAATAATGTGGAACCATTAATGTTAGCATTAGCTGAATTCCCGCTGCTGATCTCATCTCGTCTCATATCATCTGGCACACTCACCAATCGATGGCCTCACAATGGCAACGGGCAGATTACCAGCCTCCTTAAGTAACATATGCTCCGCTAAGGCTTTTGTAAATGTGTACGTATTGGGGCGCTTGCCAATCAGACGCGGTGTAAGCTGCAAAAGTGCAAGAGCCAGGCATGGGTTACAGGATTCTACAGGTTCAACTTATGAGAGGAATGACGAAGTATACCTGATCGAGTATATCCTCCGGAAGCCAATTGATTAGCGAGATGATGTCGTCGGGATTGTAGGGTGGTGCATAGATTTCCTCACACACATCGGTTCTATCGCAATTGCAATAGGCAGTGGAGACATGGATAAGCGCCTGTAACAAATGAATCAGCAGCCATTAGAGGGATCTTCCTTTGGAGGAACTCATTCTTTGGGGCTTACGTCCAGCGACAGCATGCGATGACACAGCTCGACCAAGCGTTTCGTGCCCAGCATATTGATTGTGACAGACAGTTTGAGCTTCTCATCGAATTTCACAGTGGCAGCCGAATGAAAGACAACGGAAACGTTGCGACATAGTAGATTCTGAGGAAAGGTAGAAGGTTAGAAGATCATCGATCAACATAGAGGACCCGACCCCAGGCCGCATCTTACCTGATCTTTCTCTGAGATTCCCAGCTCCTCGGATGTTATATCCCCCGAGATTGGTATGACTTTGCTTAATTCCTTGGGCTTCTCGCGACGCAGTGATTCAAAGAGCTGAAAGTACGGGTCGGGGATTGCTTAGAGGGAGGTGCTCTTGTATCGATTTCAGCATACTTACTGGTGCATTCAGTAGTTCCGTGAGACGTGCCGACACCTCCTGGCCACGTTTCGGTCGTATCAGTAGATATATATTCCTTATGTCCGGACATGAGCGCAGTAATTTCTCCACCAGCACCTGAAAATAGTCGATTAATCATTGGATAAGCCATTATCCATCAAGCATAAACCAATAGGCGTTCATTACGCCGCCCCAAAAGGGACGCACTTGACCCAGTTCAATAATGTCTGCGGTTCGGATTGATTTTACCCTCGAATGGGCATTGTGGTGGGAGTACTGCCCATTGACACGCCCCAAAAACGATGTGAGAATTGTAACAAAATTAAGCGCCATGTTCGGGCTGTGCGGGCTGCACGGGTTGTTTGCGTTGTGGATTGTTTGCTTGGGGGCGTGCTCTGTACTGTTCTGCTCTGTTCTGTTGTGACGTTCCAGGTACTACAAGAGTGGCTCTCCCACCTCCCCTCTCAACACAAAATCGATGCACGAGCACTGCGAACATTGAGTTCAGAGTCTGAGCGGCGCCTGCTGCGATTTCATGTCATAATGACGCCAGTCAGGAACTCAACCGAGGACATGCAAGAAAGGGCTGGGCAGGCCAGGCCAGGCCAGAATAGGGCATTGCATATGCATATGCTTAACAATGGTTTCTACGAAAATTGGCACAACAGCCCCTGGAAGTACTAGAAGGGAGCTCGAGGAGCACGAGCCGCACAATTAGGAGCGCCTCGCAGGAGGCAAAGTCGCGGCATGCCACGCGGCAATGAGTCAGGCAACTCTCGACTCTCGAGCATTTCGGGGGCACCTAAGCGAACAAACGCATATCGGCCATAAGTAGCTGGGGCCAAAGTGCAGCCTGAATTTTAGGCTTGGTGTGGGCTGGGGGCGCACCCACTAACCAATTCAACCATTCCACCATTCCGACGCCTCGGGCCTGGCTATTGTGTTAATCAACAAAAATATTTGTGCATATTTTATGACTGAGAGCACTTCAAGTTCTCAACCAAGCCGAACCCGGGTTCAATAGTTCGATTACGAGTCAACAAACACGCGGCGTATGCGTGATGTGAATGGAATGGAGGCGTTTTAGGGGCCCACAAAAGTATGCAGTGAAAATGGGACTCGAGGGATGGCGGATGTGTAGTGTGTGTGTGTGTAGGGAGTTTGACAGTACTTTGAGGCAGGTTCCATCTTACACAAAACAAAAGAAACGACGAGAAACCTCTGATATGTTAAGGAGAGTACCCTTGGAGACAGATGTCTCTGGAGCCTCTACTCACCTTTCCCATAAAACCAGTTCCGCCTGTGATGAAAACACTGCGTCCCGCAAAGAACTGTCCGACGGGCACGTAGCTGCTGTCGTCTGCGCGGTAGCGCTCGTACGGCGACTGCAGGCCGTTGCTGTTGGGGGGCAAGGGAAGGGCCGTCGATGCTCCTGCGCCGGAGAGGATGCCGGCCATGGCTGCCGCGGGGGAGATTCCGCTGCCGCCGGAGCCGGGTACGGACACGTAGCCGGAGGAGGCAGCCGTAGATGCGGCTGCATGGGTTAGTCCATTGGTGCGCGGCTGCTGCTGCGGCTGCTGGTGCGAGGTCAGGCTCCCGTTTAGGAGCTTGGCATCGTGACTCTGTGCGGGATGCGGGGACTGTTTCAGGCTGCCGATGCTGCCGCTGCTATTGCAGGTGTCCGTTTCTGTTTTTTTAACGACCGCGTGTGACATGTTCGATAGCTGTTCTGTTCCGTCCGTCTTTTAGTATAGTATTATTATCCGTTTGATCCTCCGCTTAAGTTAAATTAGGAAGCAGTTTTTGTCATTTGCAGTGTGCGCTCGAGTTTCCTTCTTCAAATATTTGGAAGTAGCTTTGTTCACCGATTTCTTCGTTCTAAATGGAAGCCTTCGTGTGGATCGTGTCGATCGTGCCGTGGAAATTATGCAATTAAATCTGTGGAATATTGTCCGGAAAATCTTTGTGCCGCCCTTGAGCGCTTGTCCATGTTTCTACAAGTCGCTGCTTTCGTTTCGTCCCTTACCCTGAGGGTGGAGTGGGATGGTATTGGTTGGGGGTTTTTTTTTTGTACAAAAAGAATTCAGCAGAAGGGTCCTTATTTGTGTCCTGTGTCCTGCGGGTGGGGTGTGTGGCGGAGAACAGAACCGATTTACCAGGGCTGTCTAAATTCAGTGGTCTGCAGAGCTGTAAAGTACACAAAAATAATTGAAATTGTTAGAGGCTTGTCAAAAATTGTTAGAAATTATAATGGGAAATAAATGAAATAACTGTGCCGGAAATTGTTGCACTCTTCGATAAAATGAACATTCCGATTAACAATTATTTTCGAATTCTATTGTACTACTATTCTGCTATGCATATCTAAAAACACTCTTAAATTACGATTAAATTCAAACAAAAATCTCAGAAAAAATCAATGAATTGAAGATATTTTATGTTGAGTTTCCTTCAAGGACACGCTTCCGCTGGAATCAATACGGGTTCGCCTTTCAGCAGAATTTTGCCCTTTCCACGTTTTTTGCATCATCCTTTTCTTTTCATTTTTTCCTATTAGGTTCCCTTTCATCCCTTTCCATCTCCCTTCAATGCTTTAGGTAACCTTCATCAAGCTTTTACGCTCAAGGACGCCTGGCTCTTTCTCCTCTTATCGAATTATTTCTGCAACCGACAGGACAGCCAATTAGCTGCTGACAACGAGATTACCTCAAACGGAACGTAACAGCAGCACTGCGCATAGTGCGTGTCTATTCATGTGTCCATCTAAATATCCATCCATCTATCTATTCCATCTATCTATCTATCTATCTATCTATCTATCTATATATTTATCTATCTATCAAAGTGTCATTTAGTCTCGAGAACAAGCTAAAATTAGTAACCCATTGAGGAGATACCGAGGCTGATTGGCAACCATCTTCCGCGCAGAGCTATGACGTCTGCAAATGGGGAGAATGGAAATGGTTTGGCAGGCAGCCCAACGTCAGGAAAAACGGATATTCAAATGACGGCAAAGGATACTCGCATGTGGATGAGCCTGGCCACAAGCGTTGTATAACTCACACAAGTCTCTGTCGAACCGCAATCGAATTTAACGCACAATAGAACTAAATATGCAAAAGCTTCTTAATGCCTAAGCGGCTTAGAAAGCGTAGGAGGAGCAACCACAACGAGAAACAACGGGACAGAGACCGAGAACGGAACGAATCCGACGCTATCGATGGCACTGACAGTTGGCGAATGCTCACTTTACGGCAGGCAACACTTCATTCTATATTAAACGATTTTTACACGAGACAAGCCGCGTCGAGAGTTGAGCAAAGCTGCAGCTCTCGCGGCGGCGACCCGCATGATCAAGTGGCACTTAAGAGAGTGTTACACACGTCACACATCTTGGGCCTAAGGTCTCCCACCCATCGGCACCCTCTACACACTGGATGCCCTGCGAATGCCACAAGTCAATGGAATCTGATAGTCAATTAAATGGATGAACTTCCTCTGGCGAGGGTAGCGCACTCAAGCAAACCAAATAAAAGATCTGTTCCTGTGTCGTCTAGAGTTGTAAAAAATTTAAATGTATCTGTCAACAAGCAATAAGGGAGGGGTAACAGGTTAAACAACACGAAGCGAAATAATTTCCTAAAGCTAAAAGGAAATAATATTCACTTCACAAGAAAAAAAAAAATAAAGGTTGTGCCAACAAAATACTTTTCGCTAGAAAGAAAAACATCAGCTATGCGAAGTCCAGACCCCCTTCCCAGCCAGTGAGAAGGGTCGAACCTTTGAACCCTTGCAGGGCAACCTCTTCCAGCTGCCCCTGCTCCTCCTGCTCTACGATCTCGGGACGAATGTAATTTACTTGATGCCTTGCTAATTGAAATTCAAATCAATTGCTGGCCAAATATTGATCATACCGAATAACCAGGAACTATTCGCACACATCCGTCGGATACAATGTGTGATATTTGACGTCAGACCAGACCCCAGAAGATGCTCGTCTCGGCTGTTGCGTCTCTAAAACGTTTTTTTCGGGGTTCAAAGCGGGGCACCGCAACTCCGAGACTTGCCCCGAATGACTTTCACTTTGTATTTTTAAATTTTTGTAGGTTTTTTCCCTTCCCTTCCCCCTCCACACTCCACGACCCTCCTTTATCTAAATTCCGCAATACTTTTTTTGTTTTTGTTTCTTTCGGTTTTGTGTATTTAAATTTTTGTATATTTTTTTCCAACTTTCGTTTTCAGTTTTTAAGTTTGTAAAATAAAAAAAAAATCTACTTCCACAGATGAAAGAAATATCTTTTGGTCATTTGCATGATGGTCATTTCTTTCTGACTCTGCAAAAATCCCTTAATGATATTTTTTCTCTCTCTTCTTCTCCCTCTCTTTCTATCTAGGAAATGTGTTAAGAAATTGGCACATTCGTTGCTGGATTGTTTGTTGGATCCGATCCGAACCGATCCGAGATGTTATCAAATCGTTTTGCTATATCCGCTGTTAAAGCTCGAAAAAAGCAAACTAGTTGGGCCAGCAGCAGCAGAAGCAGCAGAAGCAGCTCTATAATTAAGGTTTTAACGGACAGAGAGACGTACGGAGGGACGGAACCACAATCAGAGCGCTCTCATCACGTAACTGTAAACTTATCAATGAAGCTTCTTCTGCGTCTTTGCCGTCTTCTTCTTTCAGCGGAAAGAAACGGAGTGGACTCCAATCCACTCCGAACGACTGACTGGTTCCTCTTCATTCTGAAGTGAAATTTCTTGAAAATCAACTTTTTCTCTCTCTTTCGAATCTTTCTCTGGTTCTCTCTCTCTCTCTCTTCTTTCTCTATCTGTGTCTTTCCAAGTGCAACGAAAATTTGCGCGCCAGAGACCAGACCGAAAGGCAAATGAACCTACATATCGAACCATCGCTTTGGCCCAGCCACGCCTCTTCTGAGCCACTCTTCTCTCTGTCCCTCTGGCTGCCCCTCTCGGTTGGCGTGTTAACCAAACATGAAGACGAAAATGTATCTGCGTGTGTGCTGTTAAACGGTAAACATTCAACCTGCCTTGACAAGGTGGTTACACACAGAGCCAGTCGAGTCGAGGCGAGGCGAGTCGAGTCGAGTAGAGGCGGTCTTGCTGCCTGTGTATTGTCTGACCCATTTCCTATAATCGTATGCCGCATATCATCATCATCATCATTAACAACAATGAATTCAACCTCATCATCATCATCATCTTCGTCATCGTCATCGCATGGGACAACTGTCCCATGGCGACCGAATATCTCTAGGGTATTACCAATATTACATATACACTATTCCCAGTGCCTTTGCCTTCGCCTTCGCCTGAGCTGAGCGTATTACAACTTTGACCAACGGCATTGAATCTCTTTCGTGTCTTGTCCCATGGCTGAAAGACCCGTCTTTAGCGGTCTTTCCTCTTTGCGCTTCCCTACGCTACGCCTCTTCTCTGGGCGCCCTCTGATGTTTCCTCATTTGGAGCTTGTTGCTTTCGGATTACAAGTCTTTAGCACTCATACGAGTACTACCTATACCTCTAAAGGTATGCCTCGGATGCTTCCGCATATGTATGTATGTGCTGCATAAGCGAAGGCATGCATAAGTTGTGGCGATTCTTCTTAGGGTGTTAGGGAGAGGAAAAAGGTGTTGTGTTGTGTTATGTTTTGTCCGTTGGTTGTCAACCTGTTTGTTTTAGCAATTTGGAAGCCCATTCCATTTCGTTTCTCGCCTCATCTCATTTCGGATCGAATTGGATACAAACGAAAGTTCAAATATGCATTTTCACTTTTCAACAATGGGAGGGAGGCCGAGGCCTGTGAGCTGTAGCCTCCTCTCTCATTATGTAAACCCGTAGCAGAGCCCCATTTACGGCGGATGCTGCACGGCACACACACACACACACACACTCGCTCACATGGCTCTGCTCATGGCTGCTCATCATAATGGGTCTGTGCCCTCTATTCTATTGAACCTTTGAGTGAGTTTGTGGCGTTCAGCATTCCACTATCCCATATCCACTGACCACTGGCTATCCACTGCGCGGGGTCCATGCCATCGCCATCCTCGACAATGTCTGCTCTTACAGTTATCGTAAGTTATCTATGCTGTGTATGTAATTGAATAAATCTATAGAGGGTTGTGGGGCAATCTGATGGATAGAACGGCGCTCCGCTCTCCTCTGTGATCCCATAATTTGTGTCTTGATTAACAAACAAAAGCGATTTCGCAGTTTACAGCATAAAAGTTAAATTTAACTGTGTATAATGGGGGCCACCCCTCACCTGATGCCCCTCCTCCCACCACAGTCCGGACAGTCGGTCGTCAGACTGTCGCTGTCGGTCCCCCATTTGACGTAGTCACCAGATTCAGATTAGCTACCCAATTTAAGCGACTCTGCTCACGAGATAGATAGATAGAGAAAGAGAGAGAGCGAGAGAGATAGTGATAGAGAGAGAGACAGGGAGCCCCTCTTTCTGAACATCTCTGGATATTAAATAATTCTGCATTAGAATATATATTTGTCGTATTTTTAGGCCTGCCGCATGAGCCAAGACCTACAAGCTAAGAGCTAAGACTACGGTGTCTACGGGTCCAATTAAAACATTCTTCGAGTTAGGTTCCATCCTGCATGTGCGATTTGTCTAATTAAGAGCACTCTCTCTCTCCCTCCCTGCCTAGCGACTAATTTGAATAATCAACAACAATTTGGAATCGTTGCAATTATAAGATGAAGATTTATGGTCTCAAGATGGCACTCCTTTCCTTTTGGCAAGGTTTCTTGAGTTCATTGAGATTTATGAAGACTTGTGCGGGTTCAAGTTCATTTGAGATAACATAACAAAGAGATAACAATGTTAAAGGTCAAAGAAAGGGAATTCACAATTCGCCCTTTTTCTTCTGCCTTCTAGTCCCACTGCCGTTTCAAATTCCATTCGAAAACCTCTCCCAAAACCTGAGTTTACGTCACAGACTTCACTGCCAGCTTTCGGGGTGCCGTGTGTGCCCAATAAACAATCGATCAGAATGCCAAGTGAATAGTCGCCGTACCGTCCAGTCGTTGGTTTAATGGCTCCATAACCCATTTCCAGTAGGACCATTAGCCCATTGGCCGAGTAGAATCGATCTATCGAAATGTTCGCGAAAGTGAAAAAGAAATTTGTGTGTGCGCTCAGGTATCCCAGGC